ATTACATTTTTTCAACGTATAATTCATACAAAGAAACATGAAAATAATCTGAAGAAATTATATAGTTTTTGATTTATCAAATAAAAAGGTCCTTTAAATCGTTATTATCAATGTGTATATGTTATCCCTTAGCAAAGTTTTAATCATATGGAATAAATGAAAACAGTTTATCTGTTAAATGTTTTTGAGTAAGTAAAGTGATTTGAGCGAAAAGGAACATGTTCGACATGCATTAGACAGAATAATTACTTGTTCAACGTTATCAAGCAAATTATTTGCCTATATATATATTTTTTTAGAAATTGATATTGTAAACACATGGTGGGTGCCGTATGGTTTGAAACGGGTTTGAATTAGTTTTACGAATGGAACTGGACACTAGTCAAGGAAAAAGTTAAATTATTTGAATAAAAATACAATTAAATAATAAATTTGAACAACAATTATAATAATGTTGTCCGGATGGATGGGTTATTAACTTCCTGAAACGGAGAGACTTGGGGCAATCTTTAAACTTGCACAGTAAACAAAAAATCTTTACTTAGAAATATATACCAATATTTAATCACGTACTCAAGAAATATATCACAATAATTCACTAGAGAAAATGGAATAAAAAAAGAACTTACAAAGCTCTCATTTCCTTGAACTACGGCATATCCTATTTCTTTGTTGGTTCCTGCATCCAGATCAGTAGCTGTTATCCCAGAATACACTGTTGTTCCCACTGGTTCTGACTGTTAATGTATTTATTTAAAAATAAGGAAATCATCATGCTTCTGTTTTCAAGTCAACTGACTTTACTTTCTCAATTTAATATTTTGAAATATATTTTGGAAAATTAAATTCAGAAAATCAATTTTCAACAGACATGCAGCGCAAATTTAAAGAGCAAGTGCAGTATTCTAATATTTTGTGTCTATTGATTGATTTATCTGAACTTTAATTTCGATTTTAATAAAGTCGACTAACCTCTATGACTGAAGCAGGATAAGAAGCATTTGTAAAAGTAGGTGCATTATCATTTATATCTCGAATCTCCAGCTGCATTAGGAAAAACTTTGTTTTCGTTGGGTCTTTCTGAAATGAAGAAGCAGATTTTAGTTTAACAAATTTTACCCTTTATTTTACTTTTGATTTTTTTTATCTTAAAGCTTACAATTTTGTGTACTAGTATTCGTATTATCTTATGATAACAACAAAAAGCACACTTTTTGAATATTATACAACAAACAGTCAATTTAAGTTTAAATTTTAATATTCTGCATTCAGAGAAAAGTATAATTATTTTTGGGTATTCCACTACTCGTCTCATGAAAAACTTTTGAGCTACATGTATGAAATTTAGGGATGTCAACGAATATTCGAATATTCATTCGATGAGTTGATATTCGAATATAAATTTATTATTCGAATATTCGTTTTTAAGTGTACATGCATTTAAAAGAGAGAAAAAAACCTGGCAAGTTTTATTAGAAATTGAATCAAGTTTGTTCAAAATTAAAAGACACTCCTCTTGGGTTACCTTATAGGTGTGAAGAGTGTATCTATTAAAGTAATTTATTCATTTGTTCACTTAATTAGTGGTATAATAGTGTCCAGTACATACAATCAGCTTGTATTGTAGGACACAGTTTGACAGTAAACACATGGATCTCTTGTTTATGTAAATATCATTAAACCATTATCAGGAATTAATCAGCAAAAAGAAATTGCTTTTAATTTTTCTCCGTTAGATAATTGTTCTGCTTGGTATAATTTTTTATAGAGATATCAGTGTAGATTTTAGTAAGACGATCAATTAATCTGGAACATGGCAAAGAATCTTTTGAATTAAAAAAAAATGTTACAATTTTTATGTTTACTCATCATATATTTGATCATTTAAAAAAAATTATAATTGCTATGCATTTAACAAACTCGACATGAGTTTGTTTTCCAAAATAATTGCATAAAACCTATACTGGTTGACAGGAGAGTGAAGATAAATCTAATATAATTTAAGATGTGTTTATTCTATCGAATATTCGAATATATTCGAATACTCCTATCGAATATTCGAATATCAATTATTGACAATTTTGACATTCCTAATGAAATTCATAATTTTTCTATTTCTTTCTTTCTTTAAATATCGTCTAACACAATTAACTGATCTACAATCTAAAGACTCTCTAAAAGGTGAGCAATGGATACAGTAAATTTGGTCAGATTTGTAAACCATCTATACTTACCAATGCACGACAAGATAATTGAAATTCAATATTGTTGAGGTCATCACTTTCAGTATAGGAACTCCCCTTTAAAATAAAAAAGAACATAAAATATCAATAAATGTAGAGAATAAATAATATACCTAAAATTATTTTTTGAACAGAGGTTAACTCTTGTATACTGTAGATTCCTAATTATACGCGAAGAATTAATTTCCGCGTAATTTCGCTTTTCTTTTAATGGTGCTGAAATCTATCTTAGTTCAGTTGATGAAGCGTCCATTCGCGAATTATAATTATCGCGATTTGACGTAATAGACCCAGTTCGCGATAAAAAGTACTCGCGAAAAATATAAATTTACAGTATATGAAAAGGTAAATTTTCATTCTCCTGTTAGATTATTATATCGTATCTAAGGTCAAACAACACATTCCTCAAAAATGATAAAATATATCTAAGTTAAGAAATTGGTTTTGCAAAAAAATAATACTATAACAATTATTTCAGATAACTTTCAGGTTTATTTCTAGGCAAGACACCAGAAGAAGATTTTTCTTATACATGTATAATCATAATGGATATCTCTTTATTTGCTGATGCAACAGGCATGGGTCTTTAAGGTCTACAGTTACTTTTAAAATTTGAAAACAGTTTAAAAATCACATAATAGTAAATATTTAAAGTTTCGAATATTACAAAAGGTGTAGCCCTATTCGAAGGGGACGTATTAAAGCATATGTATGAACATGTCTTGAATATGATCATAAAACCATTGTGCTGTCCATCTTCGTGCCTTTCAGTGGTAATCCATATGTGGATAACCTGTGCGACACATACACTTGCTGTTGCCCTCAGCTCGAGATTTAGATGGACAACATATTATTTAAGGAATGAAGCTTATTTCAACATATGTTATCCGATATAACATAACTTGGGGCAGTTTACGCTTTATAAACCGCGAAGCGGTTTATACGAAAGCGTAAACTGTCCCAAGTTTTGTTATATCGGATAACATAAGTTGAAATTAGCTTCATTCCTTATAATTTAATGAGGATAACATAAGTTGAAATTAGCTTCATTCCTTATAATTTAATGAGACAATATTTCCTCCGGAAAACGGCTTCAAATTGAGCACTATTTTAAAAGTAACTTTAAGCGGAGTAATACGTTTTTGACGTACTTCATTGTGACGTAGGCAAGTTATGTTATACAAAATATTATATGTTCCTCTGTAAAATTTAGCCAATGAAATTGCTTGATACAAGTGAAATTAAATTATTATCAATTAACAGGTTATTTCCATTCATATATCGGTACGATAACCATCTGAGTTTGAAATAAAAGTTAGAACAGAATCAGACTGACCTGTTTCAATTTTGAATATTTCATTAGAAGAAAATTTTTAGGCTAACAGAACAACTCTTATTAATGATAAACAAGATGATTTCTACTTTTCAATCGTCAACTTTTCTTACTTATTTATCAAAATTTCCTTAAAATCATGCATATGATGTTTTTTATCTTTCAGTTAATTTGATACGCTAGAGGATGTTCTACATACAAATGTATGAACAATCCTTAAAGGAGGTAAGCTACTGGCAAACAAGTTGGTGAAACATCAGATTAAAGATTTACAATCTATGAACTTAGACGCAGTGATATTTAGGCAGCAGAATGGCCAACAACTTAAACACAATCAACAGTCTCGTTTAAAATTATTGTTTTGCATGGTCGACGCAATACAAATACCCTGTCACAGGATGATTGACGTTTCTTATATATTGTTTATATATCATGATTTACACACTGAAATGTCTACGATTTTCCCGTTATTTCCTGATCATAACCCGGCGGGTGTGACCGGTCAGTAGATGACGTTCACTCAACCATGACACCCGTTCCCTTCTCCTTTGGAGGTCCGTGTTTGCTCTGCTCCTATTTTGTATTGTATAAATGGACTTGTTATCTTTAATACTGTAAATTATAACAAATTGATATATTTTATTTATAACGTTTTCTCATTAGCTAATAAGTGCCATATCTTAAAACGACAACATGAAGGTATTTGCTATTTATCAGTCATACATTTAATAAGGTACCATTTTTGACATTTCTCAAGAAGTGAATACGGATTTGTACGTGATCAATTCTATCTTCGGGCTTTATAGAATCCGACCTGCGTCTTATCCTTACTTTAATCCCTTAAACGATCAGAATTTATGTTTCATCTTGCATTAAAACAATTTTGGCATGTTTCAAAGAGACATTACCGTATATTTTAGGAACGTATGACAGTACCGAATGTTAGTCTCATAATTTGAGGAGAGTAATTGTGTTTGATTTGATTCATATAAAGTATAAAACGTACATCTCTGTCGATTGCTGACTTTAATCGTATAAAAGTCCTACTTCCATAGGTTGAGTTAGATACTGGTAAAGTTATCAATTCAAACAGATTATTTAAGTTAAGATCAGCAGGGGTGGCTTGTGTTCTAAGAAAGGTTATGTTGACTCCAGATGCTGTTTGAGTCCCCTGATTTATTCCTTCTATCGTCGTGTCTGTCCTATAGAGTGGCGAGTTGGGGTCAAAAGAAGAAAAGGTAGACTCGTACACAGTTCCACCAATGTTAGGATCAGGTGAACTGCAAGCTGTAAACAAACAATTAATCAAATAGTCTAACAAATAAGCATGCAATTAAGATTTTGAGAGATTAAGTAAGTCTGCAGTAAATATTAATATTCAAACACTTTAAATTATGAAATCACAATAAAGAAAAATCACTTACGTTCTTGTGAATTTACAGTTAGTATGTGTACATTTAGCAGGAAGGCTGTAAACAGCACAGATAATTCATCATGATCCAACATCTGAAAATTTAGGAGGTATTGCTCCTTTCCTAAAAAATAAAAATAAAATCATCTAAAACAATTACTAGTACATTGTATTATTAATATGCACAGAAACTGTTGCCTTTCTTGAAACTGAATTTTCGATCCACTTTAGAGTTAATGAAGAGCCGCCACGTGGAATGATTTGGAAATTGATATCTATTGGTTTTCATATTTATTAATAGGGTCAGATAACAAAATATTATTCATCTGTATGGTATTGAATTTCATAATTAAATGTGTTCTTTTTTAATATAATGTAAAGAGATACTGTATCGTGCCAAGTAAAAAGGTTTAATTAATGTATCTATCTATAGATGAAACCAAGCATTAATAAAATCTACCGACCGATTCCTCGCAAACTGTTTACATGTAGTGTTATTAAATTGAAAATACATTTAACAAAATATAAGGTAAGTTAAAATTACTTAAATAATTTTGGAAACGCGACACATACTATACATTTTAAGTGACCTAGGGAATGTACAAATATTTATTGCGTCATATAATGTTTATCAATTGCATGATATCGGCAAGCGGGATTTATTTTGAAATAAATGAAAAAATATTCAGCTAAATGTGAATAAATTATTATGATATTAAACAGTCATTGTTGTGATTGCATTAAATCTCCCAGTTTAACCAGTTTGACAAGTTGGCAATGAAATACGCATATGCTTGAAACTCAGAAAGATATTATTATAATAATACTATAGCACCATGTGTGATATTTGTTAGCAAAACATTGACAATACCACTAGAACCTTTACAAAATAGCATAAAAATGTGTGCCTTTTTATTCAAGAAAAACTTTCTCTGTGTCGTTTAGCGACATAAAATCTGGATAAAGATTCAACGCTCCAGAGATTTTGAATAAACTCAGAATAAGGTCAAGCAGTTTTCAAGCAAAAGAAAATTAATATTAATCAATAAAAATACCTTACTAGTTATCTATAAATCATTGTGTTTTTAAGCAAAACGTATTTTTAACTATTTACACCATTTTTTTTTTATTATAATAAGCTTTTAAGTACTTACGGTAAAAACATGTGATGTGACACAAGAAATGGAATAATACTTCCTGCTTCCACCCATGCGATAATTGCGGTGCATACAGCGTGACTTGATTATTGGGGAAAATCCATCGCTCCTTTTTCAAAATTTTGTCTTGATTTTGGCGTTGAATAAATGGAAATATGGGTAAACATTGAAACTCGAATGTTTTTTTTTTTTATTTAATATGTCATTTTTTTTATCTAGACATAAAGACTCGTGACACGAGACCTACACTATATAAGGCATATTTTTTTTTCGCGATTAAATAGCTGGTTTTTATGATTGGTACATGTATATTTCTAACCCCCGTATGCAAGTTATTTTTTAATAAAATTGTATGTCAATATACAAGATAAATATGTCAAAGAACATCTTAATTAAGTTTAAATGCAAAATAAATGCAATAGATTAGGAATTTGGATTTTTTTTCTAAAATTGTTGAATGTCGCCTATAAAGCTGGAAAAGAGTTGACAGGAAACGTATTTACGGGAGTTGTTCGAAAAGTTCGTGGACTGTGTCAATCTTCGTTATATTACTAACAAGAATTTTTTATTTTTCTATTTTGTATCAATTTTGTTGTATGGGCTTTTTAACTTGAATACTGTTCATTATATCTATATGCTTCATTGAAATCAATTTTTGGACCACGTAAGCTGTCTCCTTTTCAATTGATTTTTTCTATTTAATTATATCAGAGGGAGATAGCTGTTGCTAAAATTTAAGGTCAAAAACTAGGACGCATCCCACCCTTACATGCCACAAATATTAAATGAGAATCATATCTAAAATTTCAAAGGTTGGATCAGGTGTCTTTGAAGAGTAAACATCCCCAAACGACAGGTCAAATTCGCTGGTCTTGAGTCCTACGTATGTGTTTTGATCGAGAAGACTGAATAACGACCCCAATAAAAAAAAATACTATATTTAAATTTAGTCTGCTATAGTTAACTATAGTATAAAAATTTACTATGGTAATTAAAGGTTTTACTATAATGAATCTTTTTTTTACTATGGGTTTCAGATTCATATGTTGTATGTTCTATTCCAGTTTTGTTTTTTTTTTAATATTTTAAAATTTACAGATTCCAATGGAAAGTAGGTTGAGGTATAGAGCTTTTTGTCAGAAATGACAAGACGTGACTTCTAACTTTGCAAAAAAATGAAACTGACGTATGGATGGACATCTCGATCACTATATACCCTCCACAGGCACTTGTTTCTGTAAAAAAAATTTGACCCATAGTATAATTATAACACAAGGTATCTAACTCCGATTTACACCGAGTACCCCCCTCCCTTAGAATCGCGCTCATTTACACTTTCAGAGGTAATACACAGGTAAACTGTTTATACCTATGTCATCTACGATAATTTATCTACACAACCATATATGGCTTGCTTTTCCTTGTTTTCTTTAATCTCCGTAAACAGTGTCAAAACTCTACTCGTAGAGTGGAAAAGTCGAACTATACCATAGAATCGTATATTATAGTATCGGGCAAAGAATTAGACCTCGAATCTGATTTGCTAAAAATCTGTTTCTAAAATTTATCGGAAAAATATCGTAGTGTTATTATGGAAAATAAGACACTATGAAATTTTATTTATTCGATGCAATATTTAAAATCTGGAATTGAATTTTTAAACCCACGCATTCTTTAATTTTTCTCTTTGCCCGAAATCAGCATATACCGTTCTATGGTATAGTTCGACTTTTCCACTCTGCGAGTAGAGTTTTGACGCTGTTTACAGAGATTAAAGAAAACAAGGAAAAGCAAGCCATATATGGTTGTGTAGATAAATTATCGTAGATGACATAGGTATAAACAGTTTACCTGTGCATTTCCTCTGAAAGTGTAAATGAGCGCGATTCTAAGGGAGGGGGGGTTCTAGGTGTAAATCGGAGTTAGATACCTTGTTATAATTATACTATGGGTCAAAAATTTTTTTACAGAAACAAGTGCCTGTGATACCATCCCACTTTTCAAAGCAGGGGGAGGGGTATATTGAATGGTGGGAAAGGGGGGAAGTTGCATATTTTATAACACAAATCGAATCCCTGAATATATTAAAAGTAGCTGGAATTGTCAAGGTAACCAAATAACATTTTGATTAAGATAACTCCCCCAATCTAATTAAAATTAGACCTTTCATCAGCGACATGAAAGGTCTCATTTTAATTAGATTGATAATTTCCCTTGTTTCTCAGTCATTTTTTTTTTTCAGAATCTCAATCAACAATTTTTAAACTGGAATTTTTTAGCAACGTAGTCCATGAATATCTTCAGAAGCTAATCGACGCGTTCAGAAGAAAAATAACTTTCACATTTAGGAACAATATTATAAAATGAGATCACTGAAAAAAGCATATTTCAAATGTTTATTTCTTTAAATAAAATTGACAAAAAATATTCGACTAAAAAACAAAAAAAAATCAAACAATGTCAGTGTATTAAAATAATAAATACTCCCCTCAATCTTAACAAAGTTCAATTATTTTCTTTGACATATAAGAAGAGGCTCTCATGTTTATGTCAGTTTACAATGTGTTAATTTTTATTCTTCCTCTTTATTTTTTAAAGTGTTTTTCTTGGTTAGATTTCTAATATTCAGGAATTCGTAATGGGTAGCATTTTATATATATTTTTACAAATTTTCAACACTTTTAGACAACCACATCTCAAATATTTCCAAAACTTTAAAATGAACCACCTTGATCTAAGAATATTGCAAGATGTTTAAAGTTCTCTCCATAAGTAACTGATCATGTTATCCACAATGTCAGCATACTGGCAAGTATCAACACTTTTAATTTTCTGCTTTAAAAACAATTAGCTCTAAAAAATTAGTCTTATTCATCAGTCGAAGGTTCAGCCAAAAGATCTAATTGTACTTCATAACTCTTTCCTGAAAATATATCCTTAGCCTGAAGTCTTAGCTCAGTCTCTCCAAATATCATACTTTCTTCCAATTCAATTGATGCACCATCTGGCAAATCTGGTAGGGGTATAACTAAGACCCCCAAGCGGTGACATCCTGGGTCATCTACGTATTTAGGATCTTTGCTGTCGGAGATGTAAATTGCACACTCTAATTTCTTCTCTTTTGGGTTCAAAGCTTGAAATATTTGAGATTTTTCATACCCTGCTGTCAAATGCTGTCCTTTTGTTATATACTTGAAGAAAACATCTTTACATCTAGCTCTTCCATTGACTTCAACTTTTTTGCTCTCTGGGTGTTTTGTTGGATTGAACTCGGGCCAGCTTTGGATGCCATAGGTGTATCGAGCTGTTCTCCTAGATATGGCATCAGGAATGTGTCCAAAATACACAGCGCCTTTTAAGACAGAAATGCCTGCATCATCAGGGACAACTACACGTTTCATTTTGAATCCCTCTCTTACAGCTTTTTGGACAACTTCACATTCAGCAAAACCGCCTACCATTAGAATTGTTTCCACAGCAACCATATCACTATCATACAAAATTCCTCGTAAATGTTCTTTAATTTTCTTAATGGTGTTGTCAAAGAAATGAAGAAAATCTTCGTTTTTCCACTTCAACTTCCAGTTTTCAAAAGTGACTTTTCCTGCATATTTGGACTGTTCAATTGCTTTTTCTAGAGATTTCCTGGATTTATCTTTTTTGACAATTTGTACAAGACCCAGTGGAATGGACAGATGTGTGTTTCCTTCTTTCCCTGGCTTAGCTGATCTCTTCTTTAACTCGAAGTTCCTCATTAGTTCTAAATAATCATCAAACGATGACTTCTTTAACTCTTTCATGGACTCTGTTCCAATGATTTCCTCAATATACTTTTCAAATTCGTCATCCACAGATTTACCTCCCCATGGTCCTCCGCTGGCCTCCCGCATTTCCTCTAGAGATCCGTCATCAATTTTATGATGCACTGTTATGTCTGCTGTACCCCCTAAAAATGACAGGTAGTCAAAAGTAGAAACACAATGACCTTTATAAAATTGACACTTACTTTTGACTATGTACATGCTTTAATTATTAGTTTCAACTGGCCATACAACAGGTATTTTTAAAAGCAGACACTTGTAACAAGAAGAGTTGCTCATAGGAATTACATACCTCCCAAATCAGCCACTAAATACTTGCTCCCAACAGCAAGTTCTCCCAGATATTTAGACTGTGAGAGATTAAGATCTTTGGCTGGTAGATACTGACAATGAATGGATGCAGCTTCTGGCTCTAAAGCAATAGTCAAAGATGATCGCTCAATCCCAGCCTGTTTAAATTAAAAACAAGTTGAAATGTCTTGGGGAAATGTCTCAAGAAAAACCCAATTTCATCAGAGCATTTTTCTAAAATTAGAACAAAAATTTAGTCAACTTAATCTATTTTTTATCAAGTTCGAATCAAAAATATGTCCTTCTGGGACGTAATCCTACCTCTCGTGCAGCCTCTCTCATGAACTGCTTTGATCTGTCATCCCAAATTGCAGGCACAGTGATAACATAGTCAATGTCCGATTCCTTTATATCTGGATAACTGTTCTTTAGAGTTTTCATCAGGTCACCCACCAGAAACTCTATAGATATCTTGAACACTTTAAGGGCTTCCATTTCTTTACCTGAGGCATCTTTCAGCTTTGTTTTTCTACTTATTGCCTACAAAAATAAAAAAACTGTATAAGTATATGTTATAGTTACACGAACTTCCCTATCGAAATATTTCATTTTTTAAGCACATAATTCTTCATGCAGAATTTCATCAATAAATGATTTTATCCTGACCTCAATTAAGTATTTCAGTGAAATTTATGATTCTCACAAAATGTGTGCCCTGTAAAATGTTAAAATTTCTTGTGCCTTTATATTTCCCTAAAAATTGTAAAATAAAATACAAATTTTGTATTTTATTTTTTGGGGTCTCAATTGCCAATGCACTTAATGCCTTTGCAGAAGCTGCAGATCAGTTCTGTATCTTGCTGATTTTTTAAAAAATGGAATGGATGAGCTACAATATACTTATTGAACAGAATGTGCATTAATCTCAACCAAAAAAAATAGAGCAATATCAGATCTGAACTACTTGTACCATGTGATTATGTTTTTCTTTACCATCTACTCAGAAACTTTCTGTCATAAATTCAATATGTAATCAAATAAGAAATTAATATTAGACACTTGCTTTTTCGGAATGTAGTATCATCTTAAATCGATGAAAGAAATAATAATCCTCGTGTTCTTCATCTCGTGCCAAGTCTATATACTGGTCCTCCGCCTCATATCCAAAGGCCTTAAATGTTTGGTCCGCTTCTAACAGTAAAGCTGTGGGAGTCTTTAAGGTGACAACCTTACCCCCAGTCCAATTACTGGTCAACACTTTAGACCAATCCGAGGTAGAGGAGAAGGCGTATCCCGAATAAGTTGTCCCAAAGTCGATAGCAGCCACAAAAAGCTTTCTGCATTTTGACCTGATTGAACCTAGATGAAAATCAATACAATATATATCTAAACAAATTCACACTTGACTAGAGTGTGATTAAGTCCGTTGATTTTGTTTTAAGCCAGAGAGATAAATAACAGATGATATTATGTATCTGGTCTACGAGGAAATTCGAACTACGAACTTTAAAACCGAAAGTAGGTGCATCATGCATAGAAGTCTCGGGTTTTGATGTATGAAACATCATAGATTTGAATTCTTATTTCCTCTTTATCTTTCTAAGTTTTATGACATTTTTTTCATTCTCCTTTATACAAAGAACCTTTAATAAAACCCCACTTACTATTTAGATTCGACATCTTCCGGAAACCATGTGCAGATTTCCTTCCCTTATGAAATCAAAGTACTAAGAGTAACGGAAGCCATGCTTCATTCGAAAAAGAAGAAAAGGATTGTCTCAGGTTGTGTATATATTTTTCAATCCTTGTAAATAGCCTACAATAAACTTCTATCATAGTTTTAAAAAAAAATCAGGTGTTGAGTAAATCATAGCTAGGCGCTCCCCATGTAAGTTTGTACATGACGAAATATAAATGTGTACCCTTATATACTAAAATCCACAAGGCCTACAACTTCCCTCCATTTTTGCTTCTGCCTGGGACCTATTACCGACTTACCTTAACGATTTTTGTTGGTTGTATTGTACAGAGGAGTAAACCTATATGAAGATGACTATATTTCGTCATCTATACAAACGTACATGTACATGTATGGCGGAGCGCCTATGATTTTTAACACACCAGAGCCGAAGAGTCAAGAGATCTTTCTAACCAAATAGTGTCCGGATTTGCAGACTGAATTATTAAATTATAGACTTAACCAAGCTTAAGTGACCCTGGAAGTGGATCCCTCGCTTTGATTGTGTAAATGGTATGAAAATTGAAAGGTATGAATTAAGCTTAATAAGTCAACGACTACATGTACCCGTCCCCACCCCACCCAAACCCGCACATACGCTAAATAGGTTTTACACGTTTGGAAATGAGTTTAGTTTTGTTTTTTGAAAATGATTTTGACAGGGGTGGATCCCCACCCTCGGAAAAAAAAAATCCTGGATCAGCGCCAGCTCCTTTTCCCTATTATGACCCCTGGGAGTATGGCAGGGCTACAATAGGGGGTAAAAGTTTACCATAGGAGTATATAGAAAATGTTTAAAGTAAGCAATCATTATAACTCATATTAATTCAGAAGTATTCTCGGGTAGTGTCGATTCTAGTGGTAGTGCGGGTCACAATAGGGACTCTAAGTTTTACACGAGAATACAAGACCGTAACTATATGTACTAGGCAAGTAAGATCAAATAAAAATTTTTAAAAAAAATCTGAAAAGTTAAAAAAAAGTTTTACTTTGAATATAATCTTATAATATATTATGATAGAGTGAAGATCTCGGGTTTTAAAAGAGCGATTTTCGGCAAACAAACCTTGTTCAATGCAAAATTCGCAAATTCTTTAGCAGATATTGATTTCATTTCATTTACAGTGTCTAATTTACTCTGTATCGAAAACACTTCTAGCAAAACACTCAATGGGAAGTATTACTTTTGATGAAGATTAAAACCCGATTTTCTTCGTGATACTATGCTTTTTTGCACAACATAATTTCTTTGTGTTTGTTTTCCCTGAATTTGCTTTTCATCAGACTTTTCATATTAAACCGTGGTTCAATATGAGTGAAAAATTCTCGAGAGGGCGTTAAACAATATACAATATTATTTTCATTGAACTGGCAATATTATGATTGTGATACATGTTTGTACATCTGTGGGTTTTTTTTCTCTGTGTAATGTATATAGACATTGATAGTTGTAGCCATTCATGATGAGAACTTTGTAATTGTTAGAACTTGTGTTCAAATCATTTGTATATTATTTATACAATAAAAAATATGCATGTTCAAACCTATGAATATTATTGGTCGGCTACAGGAGATTTTTAGACTGGTAACGATTTTTAGACTGGTAACGTCAAAATATCGTAATTGTTTAATTATATGACGAAAAAATTATTAGAAATTGCAGGTTCATCTTGAGTTGTGTTGTGTATCAAATGTAATTTAAAAGTAGAGCTTTTTTAACCAATAGCTAACGTCGGTTGATCAAATAAAATTTAAAAATCGATTCTTTTTTTAAATTTATTTCATACAAGTATTCATAAGAGAAAGAGGGCACGCGCACTGAACCTGAACACTTTATGCACCAAAGGACTAAATACAAGGAAGTAAGTCTTCAGAGGTAAGAGAAATTTGCAAGTTTTTGCTGTGTCTTTTTAGTCTTTACGCTTGATATTAAATATTATGTAACATGAGGATTTCTATTAATTAAATTTCAATAAATTAGTAAAACTTAAGATTATAAGAAGAGAGAAGATGATACCCTGCATGGCATATGACTTTCTTGCCCAACATGTAGACACATTTTATGTAAAACAAACTAATATACACTTTACACTTTTGAACCATTTTTTCAACGTTAAACACACATTATTCTGTATTTATCTTTATTCAAGCTTCTAAAATACAGAATTTGTAAACTCTGAGAGCTTAAACATTGCTTAGAAGTTCAGAATACACTAAATATGCAATAAGTTCAAAATGCCCTAAACTTGCAATCACTTAATTGTAAAATGGGTTTTTTTCATGTGCTTTTCCAGATAAATCGATAGAATACGGTACTAGTATTCTCAAATAGTAAAGTGGTCGGAACGCATAGTAATATACCAAGGCCGTACTATACCATTGAGATAAGTGAGGCAAATAATTTATTTTTTAAAGATTTCTGCAAAGTGAATTTCAATTATTTATGTATGTCTTTGTACAAAATCAAGACTTTCGATTTTTGTTTCATTTTTAGTAAATCCCTCACCTCATGATCACCGGATGTTTCATTATCGTCTAAAAAGTGTGTAAAAATAATTCAAGACGTGAAAACATTAATTGCGTACTATTTACATCCACTGAATATTTCCTCCTATGTTTCTGAAAAAACCCATTGCTTTAAACAGTGCATGAACTACGCTAGGCATGTCACCTGTACAGATTTTTTAATAAGTGGCTGTTCCATCAATGAAAGACGTTCGCATCATTAATACAATAATCGTTTTAATCGTACTTTAAATGATTTTTTAAACAGATATAAATATAAACAATAAAATGTCTTTCTTTGGAGGGTTATTTGTAAATTTTTTCTGCAATAGCTGCGACCAAAGAAAGCATTTTGTTGTTTAAGAAACCCAGGTTTCGAGATCCGCTCTCTAAAAAACCACCCTGGACCAGCTTTGTTCCCCTTAGATCCCTTGCCTCACTTAAAATTTACAGACTTCTATACATGTAACTGTGCATATTAATAAGTGTGTGTGGATTGTAATGTTTCCGTATCAATATATAGAAATTTTGTTATTCAATCCCACAAAATGGGGCAACACTTTGTTGACAAAAAGTTTTTTATAAACAATAAGCAATGTGTTTTACCTAATTTTAGAATATTAAAGGATGTCTGTATTTGACCTACACTGTATAGGAGAGAACTTTTTCCGGAAAAAGTCATATTTAAACATCAATCTTCTAGTTGTTTTCTATCGTATATTTCTTTAATTTTTTTCATATTTGCATTTTGAACCTAAAATTTTATTATTTGCAATATTTTGTCCGATATACTAGTGGTATTAATTTCTGCTTGAATTTCTTCAGGGCCACCCTCTCCCTAATTTGAACTGAAATTTTGATAGATTTTGATCTAAGGAATAATTTAAAGCAATCTTTTTAAGGGGCATCCCTGCCCTAGGGCCAACATTCGAAAAAATGTACAAAAAAATGTCATCTATTTTTTTCAGACATTATCATATTTTACGTAACTGATAAGCAAAGCTTGTGAATCTGATCCCCCTTCTTGTTTGTTAAATTGTTCACATTTATACCGTCATTTTAATAAATGACATTATTCATCAACATGAAAGTGTCTTATTTGACTTTTACAAAATTAGCAAAAACAAGCTGCGGTGATCTTGCCTATAAGCATTAGAAGACATAATAGTAAGTATAGCTCTGAAAGATTGACTGTAGACGCTCATCTTGAACATTTTAGTGTCCTGGTATGAATTACCCTATTGGTACTATATGTATGGGCACTAAACTGGCACTTCTTTCATAAACGGGACACCCCTACTTACTTTTACACGAAACCAATGCCTGTGGTTGACACTTTTATTTTTTCAAATATTTCACTCTTAAAAACACCAATTGATATTTATACAGGCTTTTTAGTTCTGTTTTCTTCCTTAAATGCATGTTTGCATTTATGGAAATGCAGATCAGTGTAAGTACGTTTTGTACTTTGTGTTACATATGCTAATAGTACTGTTGTGGCAAGGTCGAAACAAGGCTTAATTTTTTCAGTGAGGCAAGGGATCTAGGGGAAATCATTCAATCAAGCTGGTCCAGGGTGGTTCTTGGAGGAGAGTGGGGTCCCATCAGTTTTTATACAAATAAAGACAATCTTTAAAATATCGTTTTGGATTATAATTTACGTTTTCTAGACAATAACGAAGCACCTGATGAAATGAGCGATTTTCAGAAAATGAAACAATTAATTTGTAGATTTTAATTTCGTACTGGGCCTAAGACACGCATATTTAATTAAAGTTCACTTTTTCGAGATATAAAATTTTAGTAAGCCATTTGCCTTACTAGCTTAAATGGTAGTCGTGACCTTGTGTGCGAGAGATACTGTTAAGTAGATGCAATTCATTCCTCGGGGAAAATGTTGCATTTGCAATGGAGGAGGAATGCTTAGAAATTAGAGATTAGAAAATGTGGTATCTTGTTAAAGTACGAGGGCTGTTCAATAAATAATGTCCTGAACTGTATGACATACAATACAAATATCATATGACATTAAACTTGACTTTTTCTCATAATGGAATCTTTAAAGAATTCATAACAGTTTATGTGACCACTCTTCATCGCATAGTTTCATCGTGAGAAGCTGGGAAACAATGGCTATTCGAAACAGTGCATTGTTACAACGCACTTTGAAAAATTACGCACTTTGAAAAAAAATTTCAAAGTGCGTTAAAATTCGGGACTAAGCAAACGCACTTTGAAAAAAATATTTTTTTTCAAAGTGCGTTAATATCGACCATATTAACGCACTTTGAAAAAAATGTAAAGATTGATCAATATTCCTTCAAATAATCGGTATGATAAATAACATAACTTTTTTAAGATAAAGTCACTGTAGGACCTGAGATATTGACATTTTTAAATATTTAAGGTTTTGATAAAATAAAAGGGAAAATTAAAGGTTCTTGAAAAAAAGAGTGACGATTGTTTAAGTTCACTAATTCGTTTCTTCTTCCTTTATTTTAAATTCTAGTCTTTGATAAGTAGATGTAAAGGTGTATAGGGGGCACTAACTGAGGACAGTTTCAAGCAATTTAACATTCATCATAATAAAAAGGGGACAATTTGATTGTTCAAAACTATGAAAATTTTTCCTCTCTCATACGTTTTACTGTACTTAAAAATTTCTTGTTTTCATCTGTTTTAATTAACTCATTTATTATTGAAAGTTTTCAACGTCATACCAGTAAGGTAAATACATAATTATATGAATGCTTTGAGTATATCATAGCCATCGACACTGGTCGAAGGGCCAGCGGAGGGGATGGGGGGCTAAGCCCCCCCCCCACTTATTTTGGAATAAGTCGTATAAGCATTGAAAATGCAGAGTACCCTTTTTAGGTTTATTGCTCCCCTCCCCCGTTTGTTACCGACACCTATGTATTGGAAAGATAAAGATTTGGACTGAGGGATCTTATACCCGTCTTCTCCTCTTTTCGATGGGAGTAAATCAATTCATTTTTGAGGTTAGGGTTAGGCTTAGTTTTTTGAAAGATAAATAACAAATAAAATCTTTCCATGACTAAAATATGATTTTTTTTTTCAAAGTGCATTAAGTGTCTCCATGGTAAAATATATTGATGTAGACTCTTAACGCACTTTGAAAATTTTTTTCAAAGTGCGTTGAGTTGGTCCCAAATTCAACGCACTTTGAAAAAAAATTTCAAAATGCGTTGATTTTGTCCCAAAAATTACGCTCTTTGAAAATTTTTTTCAAAGTGCGTAATTTTTTCAAAGTGCGTTGCCACACTGCATTATAAATGAATGGTAAAGAATCAGTAAACTAATGTGAAAATAAAAGCTTCATTAAAGCTGCTGTAAAATCCCAAAGAAATACTGAAATATGTGACATTTACAGCAATGCCTGTTTAATAGACAGATGAGTAGGTGGATTTCAATGATAAAAAATTACATACTGGGCATCAAAAATGGTACCGTCCTGCCAACAAAAATTATAACGCCAATTTCAACAATTAAATAATATTTGATGATGTATGATTAGCTTTAAGACACATAGCAAATTATAGACATCACATCGGGAGTAGTTTACACTGATTTTAAGAAACGTTTGACGGTAAAAAAAAATCTTGGTACTCAAAGGTCACCCTATATTTTGAAAAATGAGTGAAAAGGACAGCGTGTACGAAAGTCTTAACAATTATTTAAGAATATCAGTTATTGTAGTTATCCACGTTTGTTTTAATATTCAAACAGATATTGGAACATGAATCTATTGCTTTACCAAAAGGTGGTCTTGATAAAAACGGCGAAGGTCTGACAAGAGCAAAGGTATGCAAGAGCACAAAGACAGATTTATATGCAATTTTCTTAAATATTAGTGGTATTGTTGTTCAAATTCGTGATCGAGAAGACAGTTTAATTTTTGGAGGAAACTAGAAAGCATTTTTTTTATTTTTGCAAAAAAAAAAAAAAATCGAAAGGTTTATTAGAGGAAGGACCCAGAATCAGGAATCCACTAGGCCTTCATTGAATTTCTTCATGACAGCGTCCAACCCCGCATGTCCTGAAGATTAAAGGATTGCCAGATCTTTGACCTTTTGACTTGTTTCTATTTTCAAAATTGAAAAAATCACCTTTCAGAAAGAAGAAACAACTCCAGGAAATCATTGGATCTGCATTTTCCAGTAAACTAAGGGTCATACCCAAAAATGAGCTTTAAAAACATTCAGAAATTGGATAAAAAATGTTACGGACATGTGTTTTAGTTAAAAGAGATTAAAAAATAAAATCATGAAGACTAAATCATTGAAAAGCGTCTTTTGCTTATTTCTGAGCACCGAGGACATTATTTATTGAACAACCCTCGTAAGATGTATGGTTTCCATTACCCAAGCATCAGGTAAAAACCCTCATACGAAGGATGTATGTAAATACTTCGGGAGGGCCAGATGCAGTTGTTTAAAACTAGGTCGATAGACGAGAAATAAAAAAAAAATTGAATGGAAAGGCCTAAAGTCAGCCACCAGAACGGGAATTGATAAGCTTTTTCTAAAGACTGAAACCAAAATCCGCCCTTTAGGTTAACTTTTTATTTACTTAGAAGTTATCCTTTTCACATAGGAACTCAAGTAAAAAAAAATTCTTTTGCTAAAATACATGAATTGAAAAAAAAAACAACTATGACAAAAATTTACTTTGTAATGTTGAAAATATTTTGGGTTTAATAATATCGGTTTCCTTGGAACTTTTGTAAATGCCTCAGAATTCATTATTTCAGAATATTTAAGTGTCCTTTTTTCTTATTGATACAATGTACTGGTGTTTTCTACCTAATTCGTTTGAAGTTTAGTAAATAAGTAATGTAACAAAATCAAATGTAAAACATGTTGAAAAATTATTAATATGGAGTAACTTTCTTGGTCATGATTTTCTTTCATTTCCTAGATGCAGAACTGGATCATATTACAGCTGTTTCTTGCATTTCTATGGTTCAATGTTTCCATATATACAGTGGATTCACAGGAACGTAAGAATTTGTTCATTTTATTGATTAAATATCTACCACTACAAGCAATTTCAAGGAATTGTAACCCCCTCTATCGGTGTTATAGTTGTTGAGATGCAATTATATATATATATGGTAAATCGAACTTCTTCTCTTACGTCCAGTCTTGTCTGTCCATCACTCATAATATATCGAATTTTTTGGCTTATAAAATTAGAATAAAAATTAAGGGTTTTTTTTCACTGCAACAAAGTTCGAGATCTCAGTCATCCTAAAGGTGTTGTCAAAAGTTATGCTTGTTCGAAAAACAAAAGTGTTGTTACAGGTAAAGAACATAGCGAATGTGAAAGCCTTCCTTTTTTTAATCAAAAGTTATTACCAATGAAACAAGATGTGTTTGCGAAACACTAATGCCCCTGTATGGCAACACAGCAAAAGTAACACTTTTCTTAATGCAAATTTATTACGTTTGTACACAAAGTAGGGTATTCAAACTGGAAATACAATTGTGAAATATGAACGTAGGCCAAGGTTACTAGTATATTTTTTCATAAGTATGCAAATCTTCAAGGTCAAGGTCAAGGTCAAAATACATGTGTGAAGTTTGGAAGCCCAAGTCCTATTCCTTTAAAAGTTACGGCCAAGGTTAAAATTTTTAAAAGTAGGCCGAACTCCAAGGTCAAAGGGTCAAAGTTCTTGAAAAGTTTTGACATAAGGATTGAATATTTGAAGAATGAAAGCACTAGCCCTAACCCTCAAAAAGTTATCGTCAAGGTTTGCTTCTTAAAAGAAGGACAAACAACAAGCTTAAGGTCAAACGGTCAAAGTTCTTGGTATCCAATAAAAGGTCATCTCACAAGGATTTTTTGTGAAGTATGAAAGCATCAGTCACTCTAAGGAAACTGTTTTTCTTTCCCATTTTACAGGAACCCAATAATTCTTTTTTTTAAGTCAAAATTTTAGGAGACATGGCAATGAAATTTCACTTTTCAAGTATGCCCAGATTCCTGCCTTATGCCTATCAAAAGCGCCCTCGTTCTTTGGTAGAAATGTTTTAACAATAAATTCCAAAGATTTGTATTTTTTTTTTAATATCACAATTTATTCAAAAATTATATAGATTTCAAAAATCAGATCGTGGAACGGGTCAAAATTAGTTAATTACAAACAATACACAAAATAATGTCTGTATATATATTGTCTGTAAAATGGAGCAAAAACGAAAAACAGCGTCGAAATTTTTATTTTGATTCGTATTCCATATTATGGCTTAATATTATGCCTTGTTGAAAAGATATCAACTTAAGAAAATAGGTAGTCCTCATTGAAAATGACAAAAAGGATGACGTGTTGTGCATATGTGTACAAATAGTAGAGGCATTTTTTGAGTGACAGAGATTCTGTATCGGATGAATACAATCTGTAAGGAAAGGATTTAACTGTCAAAAAAAGTTGTTCAAACGTCAAGGAAAGACATTGGTGCTTCAGAGATGCTTATCCTGTGAAAGCAGAGTTAATTAACAAAAGAAATTAAAACGTTAATAAAGGATATTATGTAACGAGAGTAATTCTTAAACTAATAATTACCAAGTATTAGACAAAGATTTAATGAGTAGGCATTTGATTATATTGTGTGAAATGTATAAGTATGGTATTTTTGAGAAATTGTTGACGCTATGATTTGACGTTATTGTCGTTAACTGTGTTCCGCGGGTACAAAATGTGTTGATTTAAAAATGTAGTAAATTGATTTATGTTAATTCGAATGGAATTAAACTTCACACATCATCCAAATAAACATGTTTATATATTGTTTTATGCTTATTTTAAATTTCTAGTGAATAATATTTCGAAGATTGATATCGTCCACGAACTTGAAGATATACTCGTATATATATATGTATAAGTAAGGGGAGATTACGATTTCGTCATCACGTTTATCATTAAGTTTGGTTATTAGGTTAGCATTAACGTCTTAAATTTCCAATATTTAAAAGTCAGATTTTTTTTTAACTATGCACAGCATGCAGTTCACCTGATCCTAATATTGCTGGAACTGTGTACGAGTCCACTTTTTCTTCTTTTGATCCAAACTCGCCACTCTATAGGACAGACACAACGATAGAAGGAATAAATCAGGGGACTCAGACAGCGTCAGGAGTCAACATAACTTTTGTTCGATCACCTAAGACCCCTGTTGATCTTAATTTAGATAATCTGTTTGAATTGATAAGTTATCCAGTATCAGGATCACAATTTGGAACTAGGACTTTTATCCGGTTAAAATCAGCAATTGACAGAGATGTAAGTTCATTTCATAATTTTACAATTTAAGCAAGAAAGTTATTCTATTTCAAGGTAAAAATTGTTTCCTTTTATATGTGTAAAATATAAATATAGTAGACAGATATGTTTATACTATGATAAATTGTTCATTTCACTTTGTTAAATATGTCACCGTACGCAACGTGATTGAAAGGACATGAGTTTCATAGGCGTCAGAAGCAAAGTGGGATGGCTTTTTGAAGGGTGTAAACCAACAAAAATGTAAACTCCAATTTTCACTGCCTATATTTTTTCTTTCTTTGAAAAAAAATTGCTTACATTTTTTTTTTATCGACTTGAGTTGCGATATGGGTTTAAACCCATAGGCGTCGGAACCGGAAGGGGGGTAGGTTACCCCCACTCCTCCGGATCCGATTGTTGGAATACCTGGTCTCCAAAAACGACATATATATTGTCAATCAGAAACTCAAGCATCTTTTTGATGTCAACATCAGAGTTCTTGAAGTACAATCAGAATTTTTTAAAACAAAATAAATTTGTAAATATCCAATGACAAGGTAAGTAAATTTACGAGTTCCATTTTTATTGAAAATGCAGCTGTTACATGTAATAATATCAAAAAGCCTGGAGTTTTGAATTTATCGTGGGGAATGGTTGTGTATAATGTTAAAAAGTCGTACGTGTTAAAGCCGTTGATTTTGGTGAAATCTTGTAATTTCAAATTGCCCGAATATTCCTTGGAATTTTTAAGTATTCACATCTGATTCACACCGCTTCTTGAATATATTATTTTACAGTACCCTTGAAGTTTCTCTTTTTCTACTGTTAATATCTTAGCGAGAAGTAAAGAAATTAAGTATATGGAGATAACGAACAGTATTCAATATCAAAGTCCATAAAAACAAAACAAAATAGGAGCAGAGCAAACACGGACCTCTAATACATCAGATATGGGATCAGGTACCATGGACAAGTGAGCATCCCCTGCTGGTCGGTCACACGCGCCGTTTGCTCCTTGCCATGATCGGGAAATAACGGGAAAATCCTTCGTCAATTCAGTGTATAAATAATGGACTGACAATTGGTATGAAAAACGTCAGTCAGCATTTGACTTAATGATCAACTGTATTTGCTGACAAGGTCATTGTATCGACCAAAGAACTTACGAAAAGAGGCTTGGTTGAACATTTACTGTAACCCTCTATGTATCTTTGTTTGTATGGATTTTTACAAAGTTTAGGAATCCATTATATACATGGTGGTTCAAATTCAATTTGGTTCTTTTGGGATATTAGAAATATTCAAAACCGACATACACTTATAAAGATCTAAATTTTTTCCTTCACCACACGTCTTTTAAGAGTGAAAAATTCTCGAATGAGACGTAAAACCACATATAATCAATCTAAACATACCTACGTGACTATTATCTTACTACATGTAAAATTATGATTTTAACTTAAATTTAATGTACTAATGAAAATATGAAAGCAACTGATATTTTTTCCATATATTTTTCTTAGGGAAGTTCCTATATAGCTAGTGATGATCTTGACACTATTGAATTTCAATTATCTTGTCGTTCTTTGGTAAGTACTTTGATTTTCTCAGCTTATTTATTTAGGAAAATCCTTTTATTATGAAACACTCAAACTTTCATTGCATAGATAACCAGGTTCTTTAATGTATACATGTTATTTTCAATGTAAAAGCAAGAATAAAACAAACCGTACATAAGAAATTGAGCTACAGTATGATGTATCCTTTTTGGGAGTCTATACATGTATTACAGACATGTTTATTATTATTTTCCAAATTTGTAAGTTTTTTTAAATTCATTTGCTTTGCTGATGTCCTGAATCATTTATTAGTACTATATAGAACGTTTTACATCTCTTCAAAAATGTTGATAAAATAAGTTTATATATGTATTTTATTTTTATTTCACACAGAAAGACCCAACCCAGATATTGTTTTTCCTGATGCAGCTGGAGATTCGAGATATAAATGATAATGCACCCATATTTGTAAATGCTCCTTATTCTGCTTCAGTCGATGAGGTTTGTCGGAATTATTATACATGTAACCTCGTCATATCATATAAAACTGCATGGATACTGTCATAAGATGTAGTACCCTCATTCAGGAGTTTGCCTCTTCAAGTTTATCATACTGAACTAAAATCCAGGGAATAGGAATATATTTCTAAATATTTTTGAGATTTTTATATTCTCAGAGAGGTCGGTTTTGTAAGATTTCAGGGAATGGGCTATTCCAGATTTAAAATATCAGGGAATACGTTTTCCAGAATTCGTTACTCTCAGAACATGGATTTTTCCAGACCTCTAAGTTTCAATATTAAATAATTTCAAATTTTTCCAATTAAAATTAATACTTATTTATGGACCATAAATATATAATTTGCAACGTGTCTCCACATTCAATATTATAAACATGATAAACGCAGGTTTTCATAAACAAAACGGTATGGTAAGAGAGGGAATTCTGGTAAGCCTGCTATATTGACAAAGTCCTCTAAAGAGAAAAAGAAACTGAACATAAAAAAATCGCTTGTAAAGAAAAAAGGATATTAACGTAAGAGTGATGAGTTTATTAATTATTTTCTAATTAAGTACTTAATATCAAAATGTTTTGTATTTCTATTTGTACATATATATTTTACTACAGATTACTGTAACGTCTAATGGTCATTTGCATGCAAGGTTCTGGCCATAATCCTATAAGTTCTTTGTATCTATTAGTCTTGAATTTTATGTTCTTGTGTTTTATGGGTTTGTACGGAAAACGAAGCTTAAAACCTACGCAAAACATACACCCACACCAACATGTAGGTAAAAGGTGCAAGAATTTTTCAACACGATCCGATCCTCTATTTATTCCAAAGAACAGGGTTTTTTGTCCCCGCTTGAAAAGTGGGGGATATTAACTTGGGTTTGTCCGTCCGTCTTTCTGTCTGTCTGTAACGCTTTCGTTTCCACACGATATCTCGAGAACCCTTTGAGCTTTTGCAATGAAATTTAGCATAGCAACTCCCTATGGACTAAAGAAGACCCCTATTGATTTTGAGGTCAAAAGGTCAAGGTCATAAATAAGCAAATTCTGTCTGTTAAAACATTTTCGTTTCCACACGATATCTCTAGAACCATTTGAGCTATTGCAATGAAATTTTATATAACAACTCCCTGTGGCCTAATAAAGACCCCTATTGATTTTGAGGTCAAAAGGTCAAAGTTCAAGGTCGTAAATTTATACATTCTGTCTGTGTGTAACACTCTCATTTCCGGGCGATATTTCAAGAAGATTTTGAGCTAATGCAATGTAATTTTATACCAAATTTCCCTAGGACGTCTCTCGCCCCTCTCAAAGTGCCCCGCCCCGTTTGTTTTATTAGTATTTATAGTATTACATGTCGCTATTTTTAGCGCAGGGGCATGAGGAGAGTTATTGCGTACAAAACAGGTTCTCGGCGGACTTTATGTTCTTATTACATCTATTAGAACTGTTTTATAAAGGCTAAATAGATCAAACAACATGGATTGTGTAAAATTTTGAGAATACCGAACATGAAAACATGAATATATACATGTATTTGACTTCATTCCTGCATATACTTCACATCGTGTAAAGCGATTCCGTGGTCTAGTGGTTATGTCTCTCACTTCAAATCTGAGAGGTCCCGAGATCGAATCTCGGACGATCCTATCTTTTTTTTTTTTAAATACTTTCTTTCTTTTTTTAACTAAATGATAGTATTCAGCATGTGAAATGAAAAATTTATGAGGTTATAAAATCATCATTACAGTGTGATAAATATTCCATATAAAAAGAATCTTCTATACACATAATAAAGAATAAGCAATCAAATCTTTATATGCATATTGACATACATGTATTTTATTTGCTTCAGTATACATGTATACATTTAATAATTCTACAAATTCAGTCAGGGGGATCCGACTTTTTCCCTAAGCGGGGGACACGAATTCTCTGAATTAGCTTGTTTTCATAAACATTAGAAACCAAGAAGACTCCAGATTTCAGAAGAAAGATTCTCTGGGATTTCAATATTCTCAAGGAGATGGGTTTTGTAAGTTTTCAAGGAATGGGGTTTTCCAGATTGAACGTTTTTCAGATTTCATTACTCTTAGAGAATGAATTTTTCCAGACCCCCAAAAGTATACTCAGTTTACGCGCCTATACCCCACGCTGGGAGGGGCAAAAGTGCACTCAGTTGACCTCCCCACCAAATTACCAATCAGACTCCATGCAGCATTTAGTACCTGTTTTGCAAAAAAAAAAGTGCACTCAGTTGACCACCCAATCCAGGGATGTTTTTACTACTTTTTTTTGAGACCTAAAAAAAACTTTGGAGCTTAATTGAGTTAATCTTGTTTATCATATTTTCCATCAAAATTTTAAGATTTGTCTTTCATTGTAATTGCTTTTTCTTCAATTATCACTTTATACGTAAATTAGATGAATTAAATTTGTGAAAAAAGTTTTTGATCGTTCCTTAAAAAACGGTCCGACCTGTGTATTTCTACCGGTCATTTTTGAATTTAAAATTTTTTCTATGTTGAGCAAACTTGCACGATACATCTTATGATGCACGGTCATCGATGCTAGAACTAATATACATATTCAAGACAACAGATCGGGTTAAAGTTTTGGTGCAGTACTATTACTTAGAAACTATACTTAGAAGCCTATCTGAACTTAATTTTCAAGGATGGTGCATAAAGGGATGAACACTCTATAACTTGCTCCAAATGTTGGATTAGAATTATATTTTCGCGATGAATGACTACATTGAAGGTTAAGATAAGTATATTCCCAAGTAACTGCTAGCCCTATTAGATCAAAATTGCATAAATGTCTTTGGATGAACACTACTTGATTAATTATTACTTTAATTTACTTTGCCTTACTTAAAGAGTTAAAGACACAATTCATTGAGGTGAGCTCTATCACTCGTGTCTATAAATATGTATTTTGCTTCTATATCTGTTTTTTTAAGTAAAATACTTTGGTACTGTCAGAATTTGGTACCAAACCCCTCAGACAACTAAAGAAAGGAACGTTTCTTATAAGAAACAAGGATGAAGTAGAACATGTAAATTCGGATAAGTTTCAATGTTTTTATGAGTGGGTTTATTAAAACTTTTTGTCCCCCGCTTGAAAAGTGGGGGATATTGATTTGGGTTTGTCCGTCCGTCCGTCCGTCTTTCTGTCTGTCTGTAACGCTTTCGTTTCCACACGATTGATTTTGAGGTCAAAAGGTCAAAGTTCAAGGTCGTAAATTTATACATTCTGTCTGTGTGTAACACTATCATTTCCGGGCGATATTTCAAGAAGATTTTGAGCTTATGCAATGTAATTTTATACCAAAACTCCCTAGGACCTCTCTCTCCCCTCTCAAAGTGCCCCGCCCCTTTTGTTTTATTAGTATTTATTATAGTATTACATGTCTCTATTTTTAGCACAGGGGCATGAGGAGAGTTATTGCGTATAAAACAGGTTCGCGGCGGACTTTATGTTCTTATTACATCTATTAGAACTGTTTAATAAAGGCTAGATAAATCAAACACCATGGATTGTGTAAAATTTTGACAATACCGAACATGAATATATACATGTATGTGACTTCACTTCTGCATATACTTCACTCCATGTAAAGCGATGGTCTAGTGGTAATTGTTTCTCGCTTGCCATGTGAGAGGTCCCGAGTTCAATTCCCCGATGGACCACTTTTTTTTTTTTACTAAATAATAGTATTCAGCACGCGAAACGAAAAATTTACGAGGTCTGGCTTGTACAAACTCATAAAGTCATCATTACAGTGTGATAAATATAAAAAGATATAAAAAAGAATCTTCTATACACATAATAAAAATAAGCAATTAAATCTTTATACGCATCTTATTTGCTTCAGTATACATGCATATACTAGTATACATTTAATAATTCTACAAATTCAGTGAGGGGGATCCGACTCCCTCCCCCCTTCCCCCGAACTGCGCATGTTTTACTTTTCCCTTAATCGGGGGACACAAATTCTCTGAATTAGCTTGTTAAAACCATGTTTTAAGTCGGCACCAGTGGGAACAACGGTTATTCTGGAATAACAGCTACAGATCTGGATGCAGGAAGCAACAAAGAAATAGCGTATGCCATAATTCCCGGTGATGGAAGTATTGTGAGTGTTTATATTTGATTTAAATTTCTTCATTCATATTTCATGAAGTTCTTTACGACCTTTAAAGATGTTTTTATTCAAAATAATGCAAGTACACGAATTTTAGCAATACTGTAGAAATGGGGAGGGGACTTAGAATTGAGAGAAAACATGTAAACGAAGACGTCACGGAATTGATTAGTGTATTATAAATACAGGCATGATGTTAAATTAAATATCTCTTTAGAATGATGGCTCATCCAGATTTGCACTTCCTATCACTTCAAGAGGAGAAATAGTTGTCAGCAATTCTTTAGACTTTGAATCTGTTCGGTCATACACCCTCACCATATCTGCAACAGTGAGTATATCATGTTTCAGAACAGAATTACTTAAAAAAGTAGTAATATGTCAGGTGTTTATTATTCTATTGAAATTGCTGTATTCTTTCAGAATCACTCACATGTATTGTGGAATCATTTTGTTCGTAGGGGACCAATGTAGATTGAGTAGGTCACACTTGCCCATGAATTAAAATCCCTACCAAGCTTGGAGTAATGCTAATTGTAATGGTAATGCATTCCAATGCATTACATGAACACAAAGTAATGCTAGTAATGTGTAATGCTTAAAAATTTGCATTACATGTAATGGCCATGTAATGCATTACTTCATTAAAACCAGTGTAATGCTGGCATTTTTTGTATGTATCTATTTTTAAGAAAGTATAATTGACATGAAAATTATTGTTTAGGTTTTTGTTTTCTTTTATTAAAGATATGGAGATAACGAACAGTATTCAGTCTCAAAGTCCATAAAACAATACAAAATAAGAGCAGAGCAAACACGGACGCCCTAAACATCAGAGGTGGGATCAGGTGCCATGGAGGAGTGAGCATCCCCTGTCGACCGGTCACACCCGCTGTGTGCTCCTTGTCATAATCAGGAAATTACGGCTGACTAATAACAGAAAAAATCCGTCATCAATCCAGTGTATAAATAAAGGACTATCAATTGGTATGAAAAACGTCAGTCAGCATTTGACTCAATGATAAATTGTATTTGCTGACAAGGTCATTGTATCGACCATAGAATTTACGAAAGGATGACTTTAAACGAGACTGCTGATATTCTTGTTTCATGAACTTGCTTGTCAATAATTTACCTCGTTTTAGAAATTGTTCATACGTAGAGCATGCTCTTGCGTATCGAATCAACTGATATATATATACTCCTTATGCAGGTGATGAAGGTATATTGCTGCATAAGTAAGGGAAGTTGACGATAGAAAAATTCAAGTCATCACGTTTATCATATAGCTTGGTTGTTAGATTACCATTAGTGTCTTTTTCAAGTTAAATATCCAAGTATGAAACAGAAGTGTCGGACTCTGTGGTATCTTTTATCTTAAGCTCACCAGGATATATCGAATCGACGTAGGAATGGAAATTACCATTATTAATTGACAACACGTCGTCGATATATCTAAATGTCGAGTTGAAGGCCACAGCAAGTGTTTTCTTCTTTTCACGCATAAGATTTTGCATAAATTCTGCTTTATACGAATATAAAAATACGTCTGCTAATAACGGAGCGCAATTTATACCCATGGGAATTCCAATAGATTATTGGAATATATGGTCTCCAAAAACCACATAGATATTGTCAATCAGACTCAAGCATCTTCTTGATGTCAACTTCAGAGTACTTATGTGTGCAATCAGAATCTGTTTTAACAAAATAATTTTGCAAATGACCAATGACGAGGTAAGTAAATTTACGAGTTCCATTTTTATTGAAGAAGCAGTTGTCAATGATATTAAAAAGCCTGGATTTTAATATGTCGTGGGGAATTGTGTATAAAGTTGAAAAGTCGTAACTTTTTAAGCTGTTGATTTTTGTAAAGTCTTGTGATTTCAAATTGTCCAAAAGTTCTTTAGAATTTTTTAGTATCCACATCTGATTCACACCACTTCTTGAATATATAGTTGCACAGTACTCTTGAAGTTTTTCCTTTACTACTGTCAATATCTTAGTGAGGAGTAACGAAAGTGGCTTGGTTGAACATTTACTGGAACCTGCAATGTATCTTTGTTTCTAAGGATTCTTATGAAGTTTCGGAATCCAATATATATAAGGTAGTTCAAATTCATTTTGGCTCTGTGGAATATTAAAAGTATTCAAAACTGACAGGTGGTTTTGAAGAATTTCTTCCTTAGAAAGGGAAGTATATGAGTATAAGTGGGATTACCACTTGTAGAATTAAATCCAAGTTCTTCTAGAATGCAATTTATATAATGAGACTTACAAATGAAAACAATATTGTTACCTGCTTTGTCGGCAGGAACCAGACTGGTACGTACTGATCGTGTAATCTATCTAATTCTTTTTTGACTTCTGGTTTATTGAACACAGAAGGCTAGATGGTTTACATATTGCTCCTCAATCCTTTAATACGTGACTTTAACATGGATCTGAAAATGATATTGAATGAAAAAAGTTAACTTATTTAGATAAAATTTCTGTATTTATTTTTAAAAAATACACTTTAATTTTGTTCTGTTGAAAGTACACATACCTTAGATCTAAGAATATAAAAATATTTTAGATAAGATTTTATTTCAAAGAATTATTTAAAATAGTTTTTTAAAAATCTTTTTAGAAATCACGCATGAGGTACACTAATTAATGTACACTATAAACTGAGTGTACAATTGCCACAGGTAGAGTGTAATCAAAACACACCACCCTCTGAGTTATGCAATTGTTAAAAACAATGCATTGTCTAGAGAAGTACTTCAGATTACAAGTCCTTTTCTCCTGACTGTGTTAAAAAAACATTAATTGAGCTGGTCTAGCTAGAAATGACCATGAAAAATCCATTGTACCGAAGAAAATAGAAGACATACAGACATGCTATGCCTAGCAGAGCAAAATGTATATGCATACTGTTTTTTTTTCACAAATTTGTAAATGCATTTATTTTTTCGTAAGGTACTAGATCAAAATAGTCTAAGCTTTATTATTAGATATTTTGAGCAGAGGTTTAAGTGTCCTAAAAGTTAGATAGCTTCTTGACATCAATACTTACACAAAAAGTGCATATTGTGCATGTTTTATATTACTGACAATTAAAAAGTTTGAACTTCCTATGAATGCAAGTTATTGACAGTGTAATATATACAAGTACCTGAAATCAAATTTGAATTATCATTTATCATGTTTAGTTTTGAAGGGGGTGGATGCATGCTTACGAAAAAAAAAAATTGCAAAGTTTTGTATTTCTATTTTTAAAAACCTCCAAAAGTAATGGTAATAATGGTAATGCATTACTTTCCTAAAGTAATGATAATGTAATGCATTTCTTTGAGAAAATGTGTAGAGTAATGGTAATGGTAATTTAATGCCCAAATTGTTGAAGTAATGGTAATGTAATGCATTAATTTACAATGTAATTCGCCCCAAGCCTGATCCCTACGAACGTTCATTTTGTAATCAATCTACCGTACATGTATGAATGAATAACTCACGACATTAAGTCTCCACGAGCATGTAAGTTTTCCTAGCTCACGAACATTGAACCGCGCGAAATAAAATGATTCCACAGTAACTTATATGAGCGACTAAATTTTTCAGTCACAAAAAGTACCTTACGATATCATATTTCAAATCCATCTGTTAAGAATCTTCAAGGAATATACAACATTTGAGGTGTGAGATACCATGGATGTACACATTATTCTCTCCGATGGTGCTGAAGTTAAGAAAATTAACAGGTACTTGAAACAAAATATTCCTTCTGATGTACATTTTTAATTCCTTTATGTAGGACAAAGCCAGCAATGTTGCAAATAGGAAACAGACTATCACTACCATCACAGTAACTATAAATGATGTGGATGATTTAGGACCCAAATTTGTGTATTCCTCCTGTTTTAATGTCAACAATGTTTGTTTCAATCCAACTTACACAACAAGCGTCACATCTGGGTCAACGGTAAGTTCTATGACTTTATACTAGATTTAGCTTTTAGCCAGTCTGACTAAAGCCAGCCCCTACTATATCACTTCGTTATATAGTAGGGGCTGGCTTTACTAACGAAGTGATATAGTAGGGGCTGGCTTTAGTCAGACTGGCTTTTAGCTTGTAGCATTATACGGTGTCATAGGGTAAAATAGAGTATAGCAAGTGCGGATGTTGCAAAATCAAAATGATTACAGTAAACATTTATATTTTACCTAATAATATTCGTTATTGAATATAATAAAGAATAGATAAAGCGATTTCAGCTGTTAGGCAACTTGGACTTACAGCCTTTAATTATATATCATATTATATATAAACATTGATCATTTGTAGGCTGACACGCTTGTATTTAACCCAGTGCCCGTGGTTCCTGGGAATCCCAGTGCAGCGGTTGACATCGTTGCAGAGGACAGGGACACTCTTAATGCTCCAATCACCTTTACAATACGACAAAGTGAGTGCAAAACATTTGATTTTATATGATGGGTAGTATTTGAAATTACAAGAGGTTACATCAGTAGTGTAGTCATAAACAACACAATTAACTCATTTACAAGTTATCATACTCGATTACACTTTTTCCGATTCCAAATCAGAACAATTAAAAATAATTATTAATTTATTAAGATTTTAGACGGATTTTTCATTTCTTGTACAAATTTAGTTAAATTATCTTAAAATGCAGTTATTGAATTCTTTTTTTTTTAACGGAAAAATGTAAGACTAATAATCAGCATGGTCTTCTCTTAGACATTGGCTAAATTCACTAGGCTTAATCAATGATTTATCGACACATATACTAGTACTGATATTTAAGAATTTTTGCCTCATTTGTTGCACTCTGTAATCCTCACTGTCTGTTTTTCTAATCAGCCTTGCCTTCTGGATTTGAAAACATATTCCAAGTGACCACACAACAAGTGTCTGGCTCAGCAAGTCAATACCGTGCCCTTGTAAGCCAGACAGCAGCAATTGATAGGGCCCAAGTTTCTAATCTGGAACTTTTCATTGAAGTATATTTTTACCTTTTAATATATTGTGGTCTTTTGATTCATACATGTGTTCATGCTAATATCTTTACAAATATTTTAATCATAGAGTTTTATCCATAGGCTCAAGAAAATGTTGCAAACAGATACTCCAACAGAGCTACAATAAAATTATCAGTTGCTGCAGCCAACAACAATAATCCAGTGCTTAGTGTACCTTTCCAAGGATATATTTACGAAAATTCACCAGTTGGAACCATACCGAGGAATATTGATGGATCAAACCTATTGAAAATTACTGTTACTGATCCTGACTTAGTAAGATTTTTTTCAGTTGGATGAAAAGATGTGTTTTAGGTCACCTTAGTCACTCAAATTGATCAACAAATATATTTTAGGTTAAAAAACGATAGGTATCCAGGCATTCAGAGAAATTTCTACGATTTTTATACTTATTTGGTATTTTTTTTGTCTTCTATTTCCGTCATGTATTCTATAATACATAGTGTAAAAGGCTTTTGCTATCAAGACACCACAAATCACTATTTATTTTATATCATGCTAATACGCTTTGGTATCTAAGGCTGGATTCAAGAAAATCTTATTTCTCTGAAACTGTATTATTTTTTTTTTATAAGACCTTTTGTAAGACTTCCAAAAAACATTGAATCTTATAGAGATGAATAAAATGAAAATTGTTGCATGAAAAAATTTCATTTTCAACCTTTATTTTGATGCATTTCAAATTAATTATTGATTTTTGGAGTTATCCTTCCTGGCTGAGGATCGCATATCCTTAAAGTAAATCATACATCATCAGTGATTACTTGTTGAAATTTGGCAAACAGTACATTAGTTGTTATACTAGTAATTTTTGTTGGCAAGGAGGGTACCCATTTTTGATGCCCATTATATAATTTTCTATCATTGAAATCCACCTGCATATTTGTCTATACAACAGACATTAGTTGCTGTAAATTTTTCATATTTCAGTGAATATTTCTTTGGGATTCCTAATGAGTTTGACAGCAGCTTTAATAAAACGTTTACTCTAGTTTACTGATTCTTTACCATTCATTTTTAATGCAGTTTCTCGAATAGTCTTTGTTTTCCATCTTGTCATAATGAAACTATGTGATGAAAAGTAGTCACATAAATTGTTATAAATTCATTAAAGATTCAAAAATGCAAAAAATTCAAGCTTAATGTCATATGATACCTGTATTGTATGTCATACAGTTTAGGACATTATTTATTGAACAGACCTTGTACATAGTTATGTAGAATGAGGCTGCCTCTTCCAAAATTGTGAATTTCATGGCCCAAGGTTACATCAGGGGTTTTGGTATTAGGACTTGGTTCTATCGATTTATTTAGTGAAAATATTTTAATTCTTTGAAAATTTTCTCTGCTCCCAGGTATTATCTAAGCTAACAAAGTACATAATTATGATTGTCAAGAAGCTATCTAAGTACCTAGATATAATTCGCAAGAGTGAAAATGCATTAAAACTTAGAGAATCATCATCTCTGCTTCTGGGTTATTATTTAAACAAAGGAAGTACATAGTCATGGTTAAGCAAGAATGTTTCTTTCAAAATTGTAATTCATAGCCTCAGGATCAGGGTTTCTGGTTAAAGTAGGGGGGTCATTTGATTATATATACCGGTATTGAAAATGCATATATTTTTTCAAATATTTCTCTCTACTCCTAGTTATAAAGTAAAGAAACAAGTGTAAATTTTTGATGAGCAAGGGTACTTTTACAAAATATTTAAAACTTGTGGTCCCATGCTAGGGTTCTGATTCTACTCCAGGGTGTTTGGGGGCTCTATTGAAAAAAATTGTTTTACTCAGGTGACCGTTAAAGCTCTTGAACCTCTTGTTTTTTATAGGTACTTAATTGACATTAGAGGACTTACTAATGGTATTAATTACAGATTGTAGGTGAGACTGGAAAATACACTTTCATTGTCAACACAGGACAGTTTAGAGTAAACAGCGAAGGATATGTTGAAGCAGCTGCCATAATAAACTATGAATCCACTCCAACTGTCACTTTCACTGTAAGTGTGATTTCAAATTAAGTGAATGTGTTGATGCTGCCTACACATACTCCATATTATTATGATGAGGTTATTTTACTGTAGAATGTCTATGACATGACTTACTAAGGCATTTATCGTTAAAATGAAAATCTAGGTCACAGCAACTGAAGTTGGAACCCAGAACCCAAGAAGTGGAACTGTACAAGTCACTGTAAATGTGCGAGATCTGAATGACAACACTCCAGTATTTGGTGCTCCGAGATACGTAGACACTATAACAGAGGGGGACTATACTACAAACAATCAAGTTTTATTGGATGTGGGTGAAAGTTAATTATTACAGTAAAACTCGTTTAGTACGAACGCGGATATTGCGAATTCACGGATATAGCGAAGATATCTTGGATACCCAGCTACATGTATATATAATTTAATGAATTCCTTATACGGATACAACGAATTACGGATATAGCGAAGTAATTTCACAGGTCCCAGTGACTTCGTAATAACCGAGTTTTACTGTATAACCTTATCAAACTGTAATTTTTATAATGAGTTATAAATTGTATACATTTATAAAAGACTGTTTTTATTGACATTAATTAATACTTTAAAGGTGTCTGCCAGTGATGCAGATAGCGGAGTAAATGGTGACATTGTATACACCATACAAAGTATCTCAAACAATGGGGCTTCCAAGTTTTTAATCCAGCCAAACTCAGTAACGGGAGGGGCAAGTATAAGTTGCAGAGGAAGTATAGCAGAGGGGGAAATTTATGTCATCATGGTCGCTGCAACAGACCAAGGTCAACCTGTCTCTGAAAGAAGGTAATATAAGTGTACTGTTCTTAAGAGGGAAACTGGTAATGGGGTGTCATTGAGGCCCCTGCTTTTACAATTCATGTCAGTGAAGCTGTTCCAATTGCTTCATCCGTGTTCACTGTTCCGGTATGTTTTGTTACCAGCCCCCCTCCCCCTCCCAAAAAAGTACAAGGTGTTTTTCCTCTTTTTTCTAAGTTGTTTGATGAAAGATTTAGATAGAGCTGCTGTGGATAAGCTTTTACTTTATTTGATACATATATTAATAGAAAAATAGTCTATCAAACCGTTTTTATAGAAAAGTCAGAGTCAATAAGTCATTGAATTAGGGTGTCCTTTAAATAAAAAATTGTGCATGCTTTGATTGTTCACCTAAAACTCTATTTATGCCTCCTGTGAGAAATATCAGCCTGATAGTGCAGTGAAAAACAACCAAACACAGATATGCAGTTTTGTCGAATATGTCATTCAATTCAATGACATATAGTAAAATGTAAAACAAATCATTAAGGGGGATCGCCTAATATTAAACAATACAGGTTACATGTACATAGGTGAAAGGTACAAGTGTGATCCTCCTGAGACTGACTAGAAATTTACATGCAGTGAACATATCAGAGTATATGTAAATATGTTCACCTAAAATCTATTGTATACTATATAAATGGTGCCTGTTTTGGATGGTAACATTTGAAATTGACACCCCAAGGAAAACCATTGTCAACCGACGCGTCAGCGGAGGTTGACAATGGTTTTCCGAGGGGTGTCAATTTCAAATGTTACCCTTCAAAACAGGCACCATTTATTTTATTATAATGAATGTCTTATTGATTAAGGACGTCAGCAAAAAAAAAAAAACGTCGATCGTCTTTACGTTCATGTATAGAAAGATTTCACACTCACCGGTTCACTAATCTCCTTATTGTTTGTTTGATACTCGAATTAGAGTCATTTATCATATAAAGCTTCGTTATTTCTGGCTTGCAAGCATGTTTCCTACACTCGCAAGCATGTATCGTCTGTCTTTTGTTGTTTTCAAGTAAGCTTTATCGGACGCAAGCTTTTATTGACGTCAAGTTAATTCCGGTTCTTTCAAACGCGCAACTGACGTTTTGAGAATTCTACGGTGAACCGTACGCGCATAATTTCCACGCATATGGCTTTACCGTTGTGTTACCCGTTGTCACGTGTGTTGCTAAGGCTCAGGGTAATCGAACGGATTGTTAACTGCGTCTAAACCAATCAGTTTGTAGTATTTAACATGAAAGTATAATAAAATCAAATATGGCTAACATAACTGATAACTAAATTGGGAACTAGATATCACTATGGTAATCGTGATTTTCTTGTTAGAATTTTCACTAAGCTATTTTCATACCTACTAAAGTTAAGGTGTAAAGGTTACTTTTTTTTACAAATATGATAGGCAATAATTACCTGCACTGATAACTCTTCATTCTGTAATACACTGAAGAAAAAAGAAGTTTCAAAAATTGGCATCATATGTAACGTACGTTTTTACCATTAGAAATCGGAAAATGATTAATTAGTGGAATCTTCAAGTTTTAATTACTTAACAAAAACATGATATTTTCCTTTTAGATGCAAGGATGGTGCTTAGAAAACTTCTGATTTATAAAGCACTGGCGACTATAAACATAAAGTAGCACTTTTGTATTCAGTACTTGTCACAGGGCCGATATATTGATGTCTTCCTTATTTATTCAACACCATAGTTTTTTTTCTACTATGATAAATTAAAATCTTGAATGACACTCTTATTGCTGAAGGATCATGAAAATGTCTCAGGTTAGGTTAACATTCCAAGTATAACTTTAGCTTTGTGTAAGAAAAGGAGGAATGAAATTGGGAGACTGCCGATGCTAAAGAAGAAATTAGTAGTTAGAGTCATCTATTAGTCCTCACTGTATTGTTAAGCTTGACTGTTTGCTTAAAAATTTACTTGGCACTCGTGTATAGATCTTCCTCTGATCTTTCTAATTTCTTTGCTATAATTCAATTTGTAAGGAATCCCCAGTAAAGTGCCAATAGATCAGTGTTGTTTTAATACATATACATGTATCTTATATTTCATCTTTTTATGTTGTTTTACATGCTAAGGAAATTTTTGTTAAGTTAATGTAGAATAATTCATCTTTTATATTGTTTTACAGGCTATAGAGACATTACTGCTGAGTTTATTTTTCATATTTTATATCAATTATGTTGTTTTACAGGCTAGGGACCCAGAAGGACTACCACTGAGTTTCTCCATCATCTCAGGAAATGTCAACAATGATTTCAACATTAATTCGACAACGTAAGTGTGTTTCTACCTTTTTTAACGCAAGAAAATTGAATAATGACAATAACTGGAATGATCAGATTTGAAAAGTTATATTTATAAATAAATATACTATTTCAGAGGAGAAGTTAGATCACAAAGACTACTGGACAGAGAAGCCACCCCTCAGTACACATTAAATATTAGAGTGCAGGATCAGAGTGGACTGGTAAGTGAAATATAGCCAATAAAAATATTCCTTACGGGATTCTCAGTAATAGAAACAAATTTTACTATTTACATTATCAAGTAATAAAATGCTGTGATTTGATTATTTTCCTAAGGATCTAATAAAATAGATATCCCTTGAAAATGGAATGCTTAAGATAAAGTATCAATTCTTGTGATTTATATATTCTTGAGAAAGATATTGAGAACTTTTTCGTGTTTTGATTTTCAGTCCGCACAGACAACCTTGACAATCATAATTCAAGATGTCAACGATAACAATCCTCTTTTTACACCCGCTACTTACACCTTCTCTGTACCTGAGGGAAGATCAAATGAAGATGTCGGAACAGTTACAGTAAGTCGTAGCTCTCTCAGTCGTAGTACATAAAATCAGTTGTTTGTTTCAGTAAACATCTTTGAAGGAAAGTCTAACATATATGTCTTAGTTTCTAGTGCAATATTATAACATGTTTCTTGACCCCAAACGAACATTTTGAGTCGTTTTGATTTTGTAGGCAACAGATGCAGACCAAGGTACAAATGCAAACATTAATTACCAAATATCACCTTTTTCATCTACTGGTTCTTCTAGTTTGTAAGTATAATAATCTTTGCTGCTTTTTGAAGAAAGGAAACATTCAGAATATGAATAGAACCAGGGTTCTTTGAATGCTGATTAGAACAGAGATCAACTAAATCTGACCTTCTTAACTTTCGACAGATTTACCATTTTACCATCTGGACTAATAAGAACAACCACTCCACTAGACTACGAAACAAGAAATTCCCATGTGATTCTTGTTCTGGGCATTGATGGAGGAGCTAGTAGTAGAACAGGAACAGCTACTGTCACTATCAACGTTCAGGATGTACAAGACACCATTCCTTTGTTTACAGAGACTAACATTGTCCGCTCTATTCCTGAACGACAGTCAATTGGTACATCTGTTGTGCAAGTCACGGTATGGGCAACTTTATTTATTAATGAATGGTATTAACTATGAGAAAATCATTTACCGTATAGCGGTTTATTATAGCGGGTTGCTAATTTTGGCTTGCTTTGGCGCTTTGATAGTCATGATAGTAGCCCGCTAAAATTTAATCGCTAAGATATTGAGTACTTTTCTTAGTGTTCACCTGGAAAGAGCTGAAACCCTGTGTCCGCTAAAATAAATTGCGCCAAAATTTTTGGCATACTTTTGAGCAGACGAAACGCCAAATTTTACACCCGCCACGAAAACCGCTATACGTACGGTATTTCCTTCTATCAAATAAGGATGCTGTTATCATGCTCTGAGCTAACGGAAAATTTCCGGTTTTAGTTTCTGTTTTATTTGTTTTTAAGTGCGAATTTAGTCCGATAGTGGTTGATACTGACCAAAACATTATGGATTTTGTAGGCCTTGGACCAGGATGTAGTTGATCGGATCACTTACAAATTCAGTGCAGGAGAATTCAGTGTCTTTAGTGTCAACCAGAATAGTGGCCTGATTACAAACAACCAACTTCTCCAGTATGAGACTAAAACTAGTTATGTGTTCCAAGTGACAACAGTTGAAGGAGAAGGTTCCAATGCTTTGTCTGCAACAGCAACAGTCACCATAAATCTAGAGGTATGGTGTAAACATTTTGAGCTACAAATAAAACAAAGTTATGAAAATTTTCTCAAAGATTATGTCGACAAAATAGATTAACAATGATTGGCAGTTTTTGTCATGGCTTTATTGATCAATAGTCAAAATGAATTATCAATACAATGATGTACTCAAGGTATCAATACAATGATGTACATAAGGTATCAATGCAATGATATACACAAAGTGTATATTGAATAACTGCTACTAAATGGGTACAATGATAGTTCAATGGTATTCAAGGATATTCAATGATATGCAACAATATTCAATGATATTCAATGGTATCAAATGATACAACAATATTCAATGATTTGCAACGATATTCAACGATATTCAATGATATGCAATGGTATTCAATGATATTCAATGGTATCAAATGATACAACAATATTCAATGATACAACGATATTCAATGATATACAACTATATTCAATGATATGCAACAATATTCAATGATATACAATGATATTCTATGATATACAATGATACCTGCATAGCAATGAGCAGGTAACGATGTATTACCAGGACCATGAACTACATCGACTTTTTCAACAGTGAATGATGTAGAAGGTTCATAGAATGACATAAGCCCAATTATTGGCCACGGACCCTGGAAGATAACAGGATCAGCAGCGAGCTTCTAGCAAAATTCGGTTCACAGTCCATAAGAAGTCCAAGTACACTGCCGTTAAATGATACCTAAAAATAGCCATGACGCTTATGGATTCTTTAGCTGGTAGCCAAGGAATCAAACGTAACAGATTCTTTTGCTGGTAGCCAAGTGGAACGGATGTAACGGATTCATCTGCTGGTAGCCAACGAATCAAATGTAATTGATTCTTCGTTTGGTAGCCAAGAGGAAATGTAATGGAGTCTTCTGCTGGTAGTCAAGGGAAAAGATGTAACGCATTCTTCTGTTGGTAGCCAAGGGAATGGATGACGACTGGAAAAAAGAAATCAAAGACAGCAGCAACAACTTTGTCAAAATAAAATAACAACTTATTAAAATCTGGTGAATGGGGAGGGTGGGTGGGATGCTGAGCTTCAATGGATGACAGAGATGGAAAAGGAAGAGTAAAATGCACATGCGTAATGGATGTGGCTAAGCAGTTATATACATCTGCATGAGAGTTATCTTTCCTGGACCATATCTCTATTTGTCTCCATAACATGACTTAACTCATACTGAGTTAAGTCTGATTATGTCGACAAAATAGATTAACAATGATTGGCAGTTTTTGTCATGGCTTTATTGATCAATAGTCAAAATGAATTATCAATACAATGATGTACTCAAGGTATCAATACAATGATGTACATAAGGTATCAATGCAATGATATACACAAAGGTATATTGAATAACTGCTACTAAATGGGTACAATGATAGTTCAATGGTATTCAAGGATATTCAATGATATGCAACAATATTCAATGATATTCAATGGTATCCAATGATACAACAATATTCAATGATTTGCAACGATATTCAATGATATGCAACGATATTCAATGGTATCCAATGATACAACAATATTCAATGATTTGCAACGATATTCAACGATATTCAATGATATGCAATGGTATTCAATGATATTCAATGGTATCAAATGATACAACAATATTCAATGATACAACGATATTCAATGATATACAACGATATTCAATGATATGCAACAATATTCAATGATATTCTATGATATACAATGATACCTGCATAGCAATGAGCAGGTAACGATGTATTACCAGGACCATGAACTACATCGACTTTTTCAACAGTGAATGATGTAGAAGGTTCATAGAATGACATAAGCCCAATTATTGGCCACGGACCCTGGAAGATAACAGGATCAGCAGCGAGCTTCTAGCAAAATTCGGCCATATGTCTTCACATGAGACCTAATAAAGCTGAGCATGTGAAGACATCCGCCACATGCGGGCAAATTTTGCCCATGCCATGACAAAACTGCAATTGATTACAGTTCTGCAGAATTAATCGCTCTTTGTCGTATGCAGTATACCATAGAACAAGAGCATTTCATATGATTAATTAATCGTTATATGATTCATTTAAAGTGATATTGTGAATGTTTGGTTCCACCTGTTCCCAGGTCATTTCTCTTGACCAAACCAATGATATGGATGTTGTGTTGTTAAAATTTCAACTCATTATCAGAATTGACTATGACTATAATCAGATGTAGGTTAAATGCATTGGATTTCTATCTACCTTTAATCTTTATATCATCTTCAAACAATCCTGATGGATGCAATTGTGTTGCACGCACAATTCTAAGTGACTGAGACTTAAATGTCTTATTGTCCATGCAACAAATTGAATAGATTTTGCAACAATGAAGTAGTTTGGTAATTGAAAATAATTGCTTACCACCGAGGTGAACAGAATTAAACCTCGAGTGTTGGGTCTGACTAGTAGCTTTGGAGTGTTTTAAATAAAGTAGATGTTTTTTGGTTTGCATGCTGATTAGTTTTTTGGACCACTTACATTCATTTAAATTTGAGTTTTCTGTAACTAACCATCTTTGATGGCCAACACCAATGATTTTTTTTTTGTTGTTGATAAAACTGTAAACTCACTAAGTCTAAGAAGGTCGAAAATTGCTAAGTGAAGGCCAGAGTAAACAACGTTGTTTCATACAAGTTTGACAAACTGATGGGAGACATTTTGTTATGTGATTAATCAAAGAATAGCCCTCAAATATGTTCCTAACAATAAATGTTTCGTAGTATCGGTCTGGAAATGTATTTGGATATCATAGCTGATGGCGCTAATATAGCATCATACAGTTGCATGTGCCATAGGAATGACTGCAAAGTAAACTATATGGTTGATAAGCTGGTATACAAAAGGAGCCAAAGTATTTGTAAGGAGTTGAAAGTGCTGCATTCAATATAGAAGAGATTAAATAATTTCTTTGTTAACTGTGAAGGGCATTTTTCAGCCATAGTGCCAAGATTTGAAAGATCCCATTGAAATCAGGAAATAGACGAGAGTCTGCAGTAACATTCTTGTAACCTGAACTGTGTTCCCCTTTGATTTAAATGTTATTTTGAAACATAACACTAGTAATCTTAATTAACTAATAATGTCTTGAAAATCTTCTAGACTGGGAATTTGAATTGAAAATTTTGGTATCATTATTATTAATTATTATATTTATTTATTTATTTATTTATTTATTTATTTATTTATTGTGATGTGTAATAAATATGGTTTAATTTGTAAGATTTATATATAGACCAAGAAATGTTAAATAAGTGGTTGGGCCTTCAGTTTAAATCTGAATTAACTGGAATCTCCATTTTCTGAAATTTATGTAGCAAGGCTTTAGATAGATTCGACCAATCTGACGAGTTCTTGGAACCCACAAAAGAAAATCATTTAAGTAATTAATTATATTTGAAATTTTAATCTAATGGAGTATTCATGTTTACCCGACATTAGTTCATTTCTATTACTTGATCAAAAGAGGCACATAATTCCAGCATAATGCCATGCCAATGAAATCATTTTTTTTTTTTTTGAGGAAGGGGGGCAAATTGAATTGGGGGGATGCTGATTGGACTGTGTTTGATTAGACCTTTGCCTACTGATTGGTGATGGGGAGCTGTTTATGTTTGAGCAACAATGAATTCGGGGGTAATTTTAATTGATGAGACATGCCTTTATTAATGTTTAAGTGTAAAGTATGTTTGTTGAATTTGCATGAAATTTGACATGTACAATAAGAATAGCTCAGCATTTACTGAGCCCCGACATAAGGAATTTAATTCTTTAACATTTTAAGACTTAATTATATTCTAACCAACCCCTGTAGTATATCAACAGGCCCCTAGTCTAATTACAGTGTATTAGCATATAGGCCTAATTGAGGATGCCATGAATGTCAACTGAGTGCCTCGTCAAAGAGACCCTAACTAATATCAATAACGCATCAGACCACATTTAAATGGAAGTAGTTTTCTTTGTACTTTGCTTTGGCTGCATAATTAACTGACCATCAACAATGGAGAATTTTTTGTTCATTTATTGATCACTTTCTGACAGCACAGTTTATCAATCCTATGTATTCCTTAATCCGCAATTTTTTTTTTTTTTTTTTTAAATTATTATTATTGCTGTGGGACATGTACTGTCCAATCAAGAGTAACACTTATTAATGTTTGAGAGAGCTTCCCCTTGTATGGAATGCATTGCCTTAGTTTGAGCAACATAAAAAGCATATAACCCCTTCAATGGCAAAGATTTTAAGCATTTCTAGACAAATTGATATGAAGATTAAAATGCATTTTTCGGGGTATTTCTTGTAGTTATATATATATCAATGATATATATTCTGAAAGCAGGTACTGTGTTGTTTCTGAAAATTATAAAATTCATTTCAGTTGCTATGGTCACAAATTACACTATAACCGTGCTAGAATTTCTATTCATTAAATAATGAGTTTCATTCTAGTTTTTTTTTTTTTTTTTTTTTTTTTTTTTTTTTGCTTAGTTAAATATATTAAAAAATATTTTATTGTTGTTTTGAAAATTATGAAGGTTGGGATGAAAACACCAGAATTTAGCATTCTTACAAATAAAATGTTATCCCTGCATTGATTTCAATAATGGCAAAAACGCTTAAATAGTGTGCAAAGTTTTACTCAAGCTAGCAAAATACTGTTACATGTACAACCAAAAAAAAATTTTTTTTTTTTTTTTTTTTTTTTTTGTATTTTGTATATTATTTTACTGTATGAATGGTTTTTTTTTTTTTTTAAAACCACTTTACTTGTTTTTCACGTCAGAAGCGTAGAAATACATATATGCCATGCAAGGGGCATATTCATACAGAATGTATTTGTAAGACATTGTCCCATAAAATTTATAGGCCTCATGTGAGGGAAAACAGTGTAATATGCCAGTTGACCCCATATTGACCCGGCAATGAGTAATAAATTTTGAAAATTATATAAAAGTCATCTATTACCTGACTGACTTGCAATGGTTGCCAAAGTGAATAAGGAGTTAAATTCAACGAAGAGCCAAGAGTTACACATGATGCCTGCGATGCTGTAGAACGTCTGTTGCCATGGTTGCTGAACATGATGTTAATGCAGTTGTTGGGGGCCACTTCCTATGTTGATACTTTAGCTGTGTATGCCCATGTAGTTCACACATAGAGTGATATGGATGGACCCTTAGGTATGGATCCATTTCCAAGTTCGAAGTGTTTTCGTGTGGCTTCCAGTATTGTTTTGTTTTCTTGCACAGTCTTGTTCTACTATGTTGTGATGTTTGTAAATTCTGAAGCATTCTTTCCCATTATACTCAATCATGATGCAACTCTTATGTTGTCATCTTTTTCAATCAGAGCTGTGTATCTATTTCATAGTTCTCCCATTGTGACTGAAAAATTTTTAATTACTTTTGAGATCTCCCCTGATTTCCATTTCGGAAATTTTATGCTGCCATGTTTTGATCACGTGATTTCTATTTTCTCTCCTGCACACGTGTGTGCCAGTAATATCTCTGCGGTCAGGGTTGTTTTCTGTTATCATGCTTGAAAATCAGTATGCCAGTATCAGAATATTTAGTTACAAGTCTGATGAAATTCACGGAAAGCCTGGAATATCAATGTTTTCATACCAGAGTTCAAGATAAATCCTTTCCAATCAGTTCTTTGTTTGCAGTTCCCGCGTGTTTAACCTAACACGTTAGCATCACAAAACATCACATAACATCACTGCTTGTACTCACATTTATCAAAAGAGTCATTTAGGCTTTCAAAACGCCTCGCATATCGCTTGTCCTCACTAAATGTCTGTGTATAAGTTATGCTAACGAAATAAATCACTTGCAAATATTCAATGCTGAGCTTCAATGGATGACAGAGATGGAAAAGGAAGAGTAAAATGCACATGCGTAATGGATGTGGCTAAGCAGTTATATACATCTGCATGAGAGTTATCTTTCCTGGACCATATCTCTATTTGTCTCCATAACATGACTTAACTCATATTGAGTTAAGTCTGATTAATAAAAAGGACTCCGCTTTCTTTTTTTTCAGGATAGGCCTCTTTAATATGGAGGTTTTTTTAGCTTGACTTTCAAATTATTAAAGGTCACAATTTATTCAATTCGTTGTACAAATCTGTAGAAATTATTTACCAGAATAACTATCCCTATTTGGTAAATTAAACAAATCATATTTTATTGTCATGAAAATAATTTACGGACTTATTATATTTGCTAGTAGTTATTTTATACATCGAATGCGTAAGTGTCCATAGTAATTGGCTTTATTTGTCTTAATTGTTGCAGAACTGTGGTATTTTAACGCGGTTATACCTTTGTCAAAATCTTATTATTATATTTTGTTTAATTTATCAATAGTAAAATATAATCTGTTTGACAGAGAGAGAGAGACAAGTGACCATCTCGTTTTCCTTGTAACAAACTTTGTATTAACGGGTGTAACGTCAAAATGGTGCTACTGAGATGATTGCGAATGAGTTACATTGACTATAATGTGAAGTGATTGTTAATCAATTCAAACGCGTGAAATTTCATGGATGGGTTTATAATGTTACTAGTGTGTAAATCACATTGACATATCATGAATGATTTTTTATGAAACATGGCTAGTGGTGAGGTTAACATCTCTTTATATTGTTATTATCAAAGCTTTACTCTGTCATTGGATCTTATCATGTGGTGGCGGATCCAGAAATTTTGCAAAAGGGGGCCGACCAGTTTGAGGTCAGGGTAGGGACCCACAGCCACTTCAAAAAAAAAAAATGATTTATGTGTGTATTTTTTGGAATCAAAAAAAGGGGAGCGCCAGTGACATTGCCCTTGGGTGTTGCCCTCGAGAAATATGATTCTCCAAGGGCGATGAAATCTTTATGTCTCGCTTACTAAAAAAAAGTAAAAATATTAAATAAATTTTCTATGATGTCTATGAAAATTGAAAAGAAAACTGCATCCCTGCCATTTTAAAGGTGCATAGACACCGATTTGTCTGCGCTCACCTCTGAACACGGACTGATTTTATACTTTATACTTATAAAGATTTTAAATCTTTTCTATTCCAACATTTTTACTCAGAATTTTCATTAATAAACATCAAAATTGCCACTTTTCTAAAGTATTAAGAATATGTCAATCAAACCCGTCCAGAAATTCGACGTTTCAATAACTTTGAGATGAAAAAAGATTTTTATTATATTTTCTTGAGAAATGCTATCACGATATATAAGTCGTGATATTATATAGAAATTTTGAGATAATATTAGTTTCAAATCTGTCTCTATACACCTTTAAATTCTTTCGAAAACTTTTATTTTTGCAACAAGGTTCTAGAAGTTTGAAATATGTAAATTATCTTAAAGGACATCAACAATTATCCTCCAGTGATTCAAGCCATGCCTTCAAATATGCAGATTCCTGAAATCGTCCCCATTGGAACCACTATCATCTCTAGTATAACGGCAACAGACGCAGATGGAAAGGTCAGTAAGGTTAAAATTGACTTAATATACAAAACTATAAGCCCTTTCCCACTTCACGGGGCTTCGCAGAGCAGATAATTATTTTAAACGTATGTTTGAAAAATTAATCCCTGAGGAAACTTTCCTGAATCATTGCTTTTAAACACAAAACTTCTCAGCAAACACCGTAAATTTCACATCAGATAGGTCTAAGGGTGTGTTTATGTTCATTCTTACGTCGTTTCTTCGTATCCCTGTGAACTCAAAAGGCGACAACACAAGGTCTTAGATATCTTTTTCATTCTGGGATATTGATTTTATCAAAGTGTAAAAGGTGAATATTATGGACAGTGATTGATCACAAAAACCTACAAACAGAAGGAGGTTGTAAACGCTCTGTATTACCAGAAGTAGGAACATGTGCTTAGAACCGCAAGCATCACTTGCTGTTTACTGAGTACTCTATGTACTTATCTGGAATATTGTACATTCCGTTGACCATTTGTATGAAACACGTCAGCCAAAATACCTAATATTAAGTCTAATTTGCTAACAAGGTAAATAAAATGATGAAGAATTTTAAAAATGCTGACTTTTTTCGAGGTTGTTGAAATCCCTGCACCATGAAGTTATATGTCAGTACAATGAAATTATATGTCAGTAGTCTGTTTAAGTTTTATAAATTGGTCGTACTCCGAGTATTCTCTCTTGGGTATCCAACAAGTTAATCACCCAATGCATTTTAAACGATAAGCGTGAGGACTTTCAACCTTTCTATCATCAACTAACATTATGTAGAAAAATACTAATATCACCTGCCAATGGAGTCCTTTTTCCCCTCATATTTACTTATAATTCTTTTTCTTCCGTATCCAAATTAAAATGCACATACTTTCCATTTTGTATTTGTAGGCCCCAAACAACCAATTTAAATACAGTATAACAAATGATACAACTGCACAGATATATTTCTACATTTATCCAGATTCTGGTCGAATTTTTCTCACACAGACAATACGGGGAATTGGAATCAGCCAATTCAATGTAATCACTCCAATTGTTTTTTTTATCTTATATATAAATATCATATGTATGAAGCTTAAGCATGATGCTCAATTTTTTTTTAAATATCACTAAATGACAATAATTTCAATGAAACAACTTTATGTGTTTTTTTTTGTTTGTTTGTTTTTTTTTTTTTTTTCATGCAAAAGTTACAAATAACAGCAACTGACGGAGGAACTCCGCCATTACGCGGACAAGCGACGTTGGTTATAAACATTAAAGAATCTCCTTATGCAAACGACAGCTGTGCATCAAATTTGTACTCCCCAGTTTTTACTGCACCGTTGTACTTTGTTAATGTTCTAGAAGGAGACTACTCGTTAAACAACAAATTATTGATACAGGTATGCTTAAACTCTTTTTATCGTAAGAATGATTCTCATACAGAAACTTTCAGAAATGAAAGGCAATGGTAATTTTTCTTAAATTTTTGTTGTGGTTAATGATTTGCTATTTTTAAATCTGAACCATTTGATGCGCTTTTCGTTCGGCTTTAGTTTTGTTATTTGTTTTTAGTGTTTTGCAAAGATATGGATTTCAAAGTGGATACTGATATGTTAAATTTCAAAGATGCCTCATTCGATATACAGTTATATATTTACAAAGATACCATGTTCAATTAAAATTTAAAGTAATATCTTGTTCTAATTAAATTTATTTATGTTAGAAATACTTTTAAAATATATAAAATATATCAATACTTACCTATATACAGATTTCTGCCTCAGATAACGACGTTGGTATAAACAGTGAAATAGTATTTGACATCCAAAGCGTTTCCAACAATGGAGCTGGAAAGTTTAAGTTAGTTCAAACCGAACAGGATGAAAAGATCTCTATTGTTTGCAGAAGCAGTATTTGTAGAGGAGAAACTTACGTTATAATACTCCGTGCATCCGACATGGCTCTTCCAATATACAGTAGAAGGTTTGTATTATATGTACTTTTAACGAATGCAGCTATGTGTGTGTTCAGGTTTAATCTGCATATTATTTCTAGGGAAGATGCATCGCTTTTGAAACGAGGGAATGACTTACCTGAAAATGTTTGACAAGCCCAAAAATAAAAGATTGCCGAAACTCGAAAAAATTATTTGGTGGTGGCTGGTAGGACAAGGTTCTAACTTTTTTCAGAAGCAAGTTTTATTCAAAAAGTACCACATTCCCCTGATTTGACCATACTTTTACGAAAGGAGGGCCTTTTCAATAAACCTTATAAGTAGTAAAAAAAGATCCACCTACCCACATCAGACATTACGTGCCTGAAACTTAAATAAAATTTTCATGAGTCTATGATAGAACATACTGTAATCCCCAGTTCTCTAAAAGCATATTATAACATAATATCAAGACTCGAGAACTAGGCATATGTAAAGCAATGATTTCAAGGGGGTTTAATGGAATCTTGGTCACAGACTAACATATATAATTTTTTTGTAAAAAACATCAAGAACTTTCAGCATTTTCTTGATCCATAAGTATCCAAAACATTCTTCCAATTACTTTGTCTTTAACCATAGGAAAACATCATTCTCATATGGGAGATCAGTGCTGGCAAAAAAAAGGAAAATCATTTGAGTTTTAAATATTTTTCGTAGGATTTTAAATTTTAAACACTAGTAAAAGATTTTCTTTAAAGCAGTGTAGAAATATAATGTCTGAATTCCATACCCAGTGCTGTCCTACAATAATGAATATTTCTGTTGTTTCAGAAGTTCTTCAGTTTCAATAGAAGTTAAAGTCGCACCATTTGATGTGCCTTCAACTCGATGTACCCTGAAGTGACATTTGTAAATCAGAATCACATTTCATCATTCCATTTCAAATATTTGAAACTTTCAAGGACATTCAGAAGTAAATAGTTCTAGATATTATGGTTGGACTTCTGACGGATCTAGTTCTCATCTTTCTTAGACCGAAGTTGCTTTTTTATATGTTCAGTAGTTTAGAGAATGAGTTATGCAATATTAAAAAAAAAACAACCAGTGTGAATAGCTGTAGAATCATATAGTTTGTTGATTGTTGTGGATTTTGCTCCATTCGGCAATAAGAAGTAATGCGACTCAGATTTTCTTATAACAAGTAATGAACAATCTTAAGCATTGAATATTGGCAAAATAAAGTAATTAAAAAAGGTCGAGAATACATGACTCAGTCATATACACCGCTTTAGTGTGGTAAGTCAGGTAGTCACGTAATAACATGTATAAATAGCACCATGTATACAATCTTTTCCAATTCTTTGACAAGCGCTATTCACGAGAAGTGAAAATTGCGAGTCATATGGATAAGAAATCTGGAGGCCTGGTGACCTGTATTCGGCAATGGTAATAAAGATCTGACACGCTTCCCAAATTACGAGAAAAAATCAAAATCTCAGGAACTTCAAATTCAATTTTCTCATTTTTCCGATGGGTAAAGCCAGGCTATATGTTGAAATAGATAAAATCAGAATTTACACTTTCATACAATCATACAATGTTAATTTCTCAATTTCCCAAAAAAAAATTGCTTTGTTGCACTTAGTAAACTATAATTGATAATGATATGCAAACCTCTGTAAGTATTTAATTACAGTTTGCTACAATGATTACTCCGAGTTTTCTGAAATGGAATTACAAGTGTAATGGAGAGAATATAAGATAATTCTAAAATATTAATGTTGAACTCACAGCTATAGAAAAAAAAACATTTCAATATCTATAGCAGAGCCATTAAAAAGTAGAAATGATGTTGGACTTGGAAACATTCTCCAAAGCATCCAGTTAAATATTACATGGAATAAACACACAGAACAAAAGAATAAGAGAAGCATTCTGCAGCAACCTTATTGGAGAAAAATCATAGATGCGGAGCTATGGTCCATCTAAAAAAAACTTGGAGAAAGGTGAACATAGAATCTACGACAGAGACAAATGATGAGGTGAATGCCCTTGTATGGACAAGGATGAATAAGCAAGCGCGTAAATAAAGGGAAATTAAATGAAAAGTTGCTCCTTAAAACAGGAAGTCACAAAGTACTCATGTTCACGTTTTATATTATTTAGGATTGAATGTAGATTTTTAATTTTTTTGTTTATTTCACAGTCCTTAAGCTAGACTAAATATTTAATAGATGGTCAAAGTTTCACGAAGGAAAAATCTAATTTGAAAGGTCATTATAAAAAGTATTTTCAATGAAAAGGTAAGCAAGAAGAACACTGTCGATTGACGAAAAAAGAAACAAATAATACAATACAATATTGTTAACAGGGCTAAAAGTGGGACAGAAAAGTTCCAGATGTGATATAAGATGCCTAGGAAGAGTATGTATCCCTGTCTATCGGTCACACAAGCGTTCAGTCCTTTGTATTTGTAAAATAGACTGATTATTAAGTATTCATTATCAATTACAAGATAATGACCTACCATTTGATACAAAATACTGTAGGTTAAATGAAATGCAACCAAAAATAGGTTATATTTGTTAATAAGGTACGCCATTAAAACGACAGAATGCTGTTGAAAAAACGTACATTTAACAATTCACATGTAAATCTCGAGTCGACATATGAGTGAAAGTAGCTATTGACAATATTATAAAAACGTTAAGTTGATATCGTATAAATATAGCTTTTTGATGAGGTCGATCCATAGATATATCAACTTTGCAGAAATGCAACTCGACCAAGCACGAAGAGCAAGGTCGATATGCTTTTTTGATATACCAGGTATCTGCAGATTGAACGAATTTAAGGGCTATATTTGATATATTATTTTTTTATTGTTAATAAAAAGAATCACCAGAAGTTTTCTTTACTGTCTTTTTTGAGCACTGGCAGACTAGAGGACGCAATAGATTTATCTCTTTAATGTAATGTGTGTTTTCTTTTTAACGATAAAGTAATTAAGGGAATTTCCTTTTTTTAAACGCTAATTTTGTTTGATTAATTTTTAAATTAATTTTTGAAAAAACATATCTGTTATGTTTCGATATTAAGTAGATCTCTCTTCAAGGTATTGTTTTGTTTTACTAATTATTACAGAATATCACTATTACAAAAAAAGTGTTAACGTATGTAATGTATTTTTAAAGAAAACTATATTAGCTCTTCTGAATTCAGTACTATTGTTGTTTTAAAGAAACATATTTCCATTTTAAGAAGCATTAAGTAGATAAAATCTATAAATAGTATCTAAGTCGATATGCTGTAATTTACTTGATCGTGTGAACAAGTTTAAGCCAATCAGAAAGCTTGGAATATATGAGAAAAATAATGTATCTCAATGCTGCGTTTGTAGGCCGCAGCGTTTCCTTCTTTCTTCTTATGTAGAAGTTTTTTTTTAAAAAATACATTATACTCCATAGATGTAGGAACAAAAAAGGTGCAAGAAAAAAATACTCTTGTGGTGTTTGGGGGTTATTGAGAAGCACCTTAAAATCAGCAACTGGTTAATATTTTGCTAAATACGTTTGCACCTTTCCTATGGAATGATGCAACCAAAGTGATGAAAAAAATATAATGCAGATAGATTTTTTTTTAGAAATTTTCATCAGAACAAAAATGCTGTTTTGTAAAATTGACAGTGTACGAGGGGTTATCAAAAAGTTCATGGACTAGCGCCATAAAATTAAAACCGCTTCAGGTACATCGATGAATTTTAAAATATCTAGCAAGCATCATCTTTTCTATCAATAGAATAAAACACAAATCATCAATTTTATTTTTTAAAAAACAAGTATTGTTTTTGTAAGCAATGGTATGTCCAGGCGGCGCAACCTCGAAAACGAAATTTTTTCGACCGAAGTGTAACTGAGAAAAACTATTTTGATATGAACATTTGACATCCAAAAATCTTGTTAATTCAGGTATGTGTTGGGACACTATTGTTTCATAAAATACGGAATTTAACCTCATTCTGGAGGTTCCATAAAATTTTATAGCAAAGTTTACATGGAGTAACCAAACAAATATTGCCTTGAAAATGACGTCAAAAAGGGGGAGGGTGTGTTTTACCAACATTCAATAAAGTTTTGCCCCTGAAAAAAATGTATAGACTTAGGAAATGTTTAAACTGGCTACAGAGATAGAATATGCATCTAGAGTACTTGTTTTTTTAATGACAAAATAGATTCAGAGAGAAAAGGAATGCATAGTTAATGTCGATTTGTAGTCAAGGTGTGAAAAATTAATCACATCAAAAAATTACGTTGATCATGTGTTGTAGTCATTGAAGTCCAAAAAACAAAATATACTGGCACAATCAAGTGAGGATCTCTCCTATTGTATAAATCCATTGCAAAAGAAGAAGATATGGTTTCCATACAATTTTTGCCCTGTGATTTTTAAAAAAATGATACTGGTGTAAAAGTTGAAAACTCATGCTTTTTAAATAATTGAAATTCAATGCAGAAAAATCATACAAGTCATTTTTCTGACATGTGTTTTTAAATGCTAATTATGAGGTCATAAACATGTGCATTTTCCCGTATTTTCTTAAAAAGTTGCAGAAGACACCAATTTTCAATGAAATTTTCTTTAAGATAACATTGTCCACAGACATCGCCCACAAAGATCTTGAGATATGTGATTTGTTATTGAATTTTGCACAAAATATCAAAAAATTAACGTGGGCGACGGCTGTGGACACTGTTTTCTAAAGGAAAATCACCCTAGAAATGTGCCATTTTGAGGCTTTTTCTGTTGAAAATAGAGAAATGCTTCACATCAATGGCGTCATATTTGCAGAATGGTAAACCTTCATGCCATATTCTTCCCTGATTTATCAAAGTCATTTATTTAACTAATATTTGAGCCAGTTTCAAAACTTTTTGATGTCATTACATTTTTAGGGCGCAATAATACTAAAACCATGCCTTCTTCTTATATACAATGAAAGCCGCTGTTCATGACATTGTAAAGTCATATAAACAAGACTGATTGAAGTCCTTACTCAGCTCCAGGAAATTTCATCAAAATAAGTGTATGAGGTAGAAGAAGCAGACATTGAAAAACAATGACGTTGTCAGACGTCATAAACTTAAACGGTGACGGTGCCGGTGATGAAAAAATGTCGTTTTTATTTTATAATAATTTTGGAAATAATGAACGTATCAAGCTAAAATTTTCAACATTTCTTTATTTTTTGTTGTTTTATGTTCCTTAAAAAATTGTAAGCTCAGACTACATAGTAATAATTTTACAGCCTCAATCCACGAATTTTTGATAACCCCTCCTAGTCATGTTTTTTTATAATTGTATATTTCTGATATTAAAAAATGGTGTAACTTCGCAGTTTTACTATCCAAGGTTTGAGGGACAATCATGAATTTTAAACAAGTATACAAATGATTAAAATTTTGACTACACGCTACTAGATTGTTCATACAATATTTAAACACGCCATTATTCGACGTGAACTAATATTAAAGAAGCATATTTCTGAGTAGTATCAAGTTCAAAATACATAAGTATATTGTTATTGCAGTGTAAATTATATAGTGAAATAAAGTACGTACTCTTAATAATAGGCTTTTTGAGGAGTCTTGTGTGACTAATTTTCTGTGTAATTGACATAATTTTTGGCGTATTATTATGCTTACTTGTTTTATCATAAATTACCTACATTTCGTCCTCTATTTTTTTTTTAGATTGATTATATGCTTTTTCTCTCATATCTCTTTATGATAGATTTTTTGCTCATATAGAGATGTGAATTTTAATTTTTTTTATTTTGACTGGTTAAGCATTTGTCTTTTCATGCTATTTTAGTTTTTATGCTTTTTTGTTCAAACACATCTCTAAATATTTATCAAACTCTTAAATTGAATATGTTGAGGGATTGGCTGTGGACGTTTAAATTTGGAAAATTCGCAGTTACAATTGGTGAATTATAACTTTCATCCTTATTTGTCTGCTTGGGGATGGGACATCTGGGTTTGATTCCCGATCGCCGCGCAGCTTGTAAGACACACAAATAATTTAGGTAAAGTGTTCTTTTGACGTAAATATCTACATGTATAAATAAGGTAAACTGTTCTTTTAAACATCTATTTTGCAAAAACCTTTGCTCACTAGTGTTAAGTTTATGCCTTAATATGAAATCCTTCAGCGATATCTAGTATCGTCTATATTCGATATTTTTTTTAATCTAATGAAACGTAAAAAGAAAACATACAAT